ACAATGGTTGCTGTAGTACATGATGCTATCTTCCAATTAGTTCTTCAGATTACCAGATATAAACATGCAAGATTCATTTAAAGAAAAAACAAAGTAACAAAAAGTTACAAGAAATTCAGAAGAGGAAAAAAAAATCAGAGTAACAAGTAAAAATTTTAAGCATTATCTACTCCTTTCAAAAGGCCAGCAGCAATCGACAATACAATTATCTAAATTAGTCTGCATATATACCTAAATATATCTTTTCCCCTCCATTCTAATTTTTGTGCATTTTCCCTGTGCAGAGAATGCATTTTTTTTTTTTTTTTTTTAAATGCATGGACTGAACATTTGCAAAAAGGAGGCTTAATTTTACCAGGAGAAACAGCAGCCTTCCTGGTTAACTTTCCCACCAGAGTACCGAAGTTTGAAAGCTCTTGATGCACACCTGACTTTGCCAGGGCTGTGGCACGTGACACTTGAGTCCTTTCAACTTCGTGGACTTCAGTGTTCTTTATTCCGTCCCCGAGACAGGAGCTGAGTAAGCCTCAGGGTGTTTCTCTAATCGTGATTCAGCCTAGTATTAGATAACAATGTCCTATGATTGATTCAAAAGTTGTTCGTGCTGCTGGGGATACAGCTCAGCAGCATAAGCGCCTGCCTGGCAAGCGCAGGGTCCTGAGTTTCATCCCTGGTACCGTCAAAAAAAAAAAAATTGTTTGTGCCCGTATCTTGCAGACTCTTGCTCTGGTACACTGAGGTACTTAGTAAATGCTTCGAGACTGAGCTGAAAGGACTCTGCACAGTGTAGTGAACCCTTACATGTGCCCACCCCACGGAAGGCCAAGCTGCTGTAGGAAACTGGCCTCTGCTGGTGCGTACAAGGTGTTCCGAGAGGCAGAAGTGAGCTTCCCATTTAGACTTGACTCTCAGCCCTAAGCTATGACGGAATACAGGCGCATATTCTACAACTTGAAATACCTGAAATCCAAAGTGCTTCTGGTCTCACGCATTACAGGTAAGAGATACTCAGCCTGTTACTTCTGACAGGTAATGGAAAAACAGGCCCCACCCTGGCTGGGTCTTAAGTGTGGACGACAGCCCCTCCACATTTCTCGTGGAGTCTCTGTGACCCTCACCCACACCCGAGTGTCCTGATGAACCTCACAGATCGGATAATCAAAGCCTCGGGCAGCAAGGTGACTCAAAGGATCTCAGACACCAGGCCTGGCCACCCCCCAGACCTCAGCTAGCAAGTTACCAACTTCACTTGCTTCCCAGAAGGGCTCTGTGTCCCTCTTCCAGCTGTGTTCCACCTGGCTAGACTTTAACAAGGGGCTGCAAGGCAAGACCTAGGAGAGCGTCCTCTATGCTAATCTTCCTGGGTCACCTGCAGCAGTAGGGGTGGCTAATGAAGGCCTGTGATTTCCAAACCTGGGCAAGCTACTTTTTTTGTGGCGTTAACATGGGCATTTAACCCAGAGGATTGTTCTGAGAATTAAATGGGGATGGAGTATGAAACTCTCACAACACCACCTAGTACAAAGTGCTAATCATTCTGGAGTGTTTTTAATGCTGCTGTGCAACTTCTGGCCAGTGATTATGCTCTCTGGGCTTCAGTTCTTCACCTACATAAAGGGGATGAAAACGTGGCCCGTAATGGGTGTTGGGAAGGGAGGAGCGGACAGGCCCTGCACCTCCTGAGTGGCAAGCCCTCAGGAAGGGCTGGCTACTGTTACCATTATCATTGCCAAAGCTTGCTCCTGAGCCTCCACTAGCTCTTCCTCCAGTTCTGAAAGGAAGTTTATTAGCGTGAATTAGCCCATGCCATTCAGCAGCCTCTTAATGAGATTGGTGTTATTTGAGGCTGATCCTCCTTATCAGCGGAGCTGTGAACTGCGCAGCTCAGGATGCTTAATTTCTCTCCACGGAGCCAATCCTTTAATCCCGATTTAGCCTGGCTGGGATTCCGCTGGCTTTTGGTTGGATTGCTGTGGAGCATTCTCTGGCTGCGCTAGACCAGAACAAAGCAACCCACAGCTCCCGGGAAAGGAGTCAAGATGCCTGGAGAGGTGGGGCCAACTCCAGGCTCAGCCTTGATTTGCATTTTAATGGACGCTGTCAGAGGTGGGAAAACACCAGCAGCCTCTCTTTCCTAATTACGGCTCAGCTTCTAGAAGCTGTCAGCAGGCAGGTGGATGTCCAAGGATGCAGAGTAGGGGACTGACAGCAGGCCGTGTCTCGGTCAAACAACATTTTCAGGTGGTAGTCCCCAACTATACTGCCACTGCCACTAGCCCTGGGTTGCTGGTTCCCTGTGGGGGACAGTCTCCACACCAGAGTGGGCATTCAAGGGCTTCCCTCCCAAAAGGCGGCTGGGACCCTAGAAGCTGATGTGAGGAGGACAGCAGGAGACCTGGGGTCTCTATATACCTGTGCTGGAGATGAAGACAAGGTTTCCTCACTTAGGTCACCAAGGGACATCAGCAGAGCAGAACTGGAGCTCCAGTGTGCTGGGTGCCACTAGGCGTACAGCCCTGACTTCAGAGTCCATCGGAAATAAAAGAAGGCTCTTAGAAAGATCATGAGTGTGCCCAGCGTAGGACCTGGTTAGTGTGCGCTGAATGAATGAATGAATGAATGAATGAATGAATGAATGAATGAAGGGTACACTAAGAAAGCAGTAATGAACATTAAACAGGCTCTATCTAGGATGGTAATATTTTTGTGTGGTGTTTTGTGACCAGGAGTCCCTGTGTAGTCCAGGCTAGCCTTGAACTTGCAGCATCCTCCTGCCTCGGCCTCCCAAGAGCAGGGACTGCAGGTGTGCACCACCACACCTGGCACTAGGACTGTAATATTTGTGCCAGTTAGGACACACCTGGAAGAGTAAGTGAAAGAGTTGTAAATCATGGGGGGACACAAATGATAAAATCAATGACACAGGAAATAAGTGCAGTGGCCAGTTATTAAGCCACCATTTTTGCCTAAACACTTTATTTCTACTTTTAATGCCTTGCAGGTGGGTTCAACCCACAACCCACTTGCCTCTCTATTTTTTTTAAACATGATAATAAAATAATTTTAAATGAACTTTTGTTACTAACATATATTAACTATATTATATATTTTATAGGTAGCTCAAAATAGTTTTCCTATGGCTCAGGCAAGCCAAAAGCCCAGGCACCCATGCAAGGATCACTGTAAGGAACAGGTGGAAGGACAGCTAGCTGCACCCTCCCCAGACCTGTACTTTATATTGTAGGACACTAAGCTGTCCCTGGGTAGTGGCTCTGGGTATGCTTCAGCCATGGATTTTTTTTTTTTGCATAATTTTATTGAGAAACAAATAGCAATGAGACAGTTTCAAATCAAATTGGTAGGACAGTTTCAATAATTAACAAATTGCATACATTCTTCCTAGTGGTTAATTGCTGTACAGGATGCACACATGATATTCTATTTACAAACACCATTAGAACAAATCCCTCTATTCATTAAGAGACTGTAACTATATATCTATCCTAACCACTTTGAATACACAGATACAAGATGGACATTCATCTGTGTCCCCTTTTTTTTTTGTTAAGTTCCGTTATTTCAATATTATAGGTGTGAAAACTCAGCAAAATATTCTAAAAGAGTCCAGTAGCCCATAATAGTATTGGGTCTTCTGCTTGACTGGCAATGTCAGAAATTGTTGACCTGAGTCTCCTACAGCTCAACATAACACCATGGCTTTACTTCTTATATTTCTTTTTTATACTTTTCTGCTGGATGGTTAAGACCAAGGTAAAGCAGGACCTATGCAGCAAGAGTTGTATCAGCCATGGATTTGGGCTGGTGCTGGGACTTGCTCCTGCCCCTTGAATTGGAGCATCTGTGGCAGGTGCTACTTGTGGGCTGAAGTGGTAAAGAAATGTGCCGTCTTCACAGCCTCCCTTCCTCCCCAAGAGCTAGAGCCCCAGATGACCCAAGAGAGGAAGGAGCTGGCTCCCCAAGTCACTGAGGGGGAGCCTCCCACCCAGACTGTTTGAATCAGGTCTGTAATGTAAGAAGAGAATGAGGTGCATGTTAAGCCACTGGGAATCTGGGGCTTTTACCTTCATAGCAAATAGTATATGCTATGAATAGTATATGCTGTTTTCTGTGATGGAAACAGAAATTGTACCAGAATTGGGGGCTGCCTGGCCAAAGCCTGCAGCTGGAGATGGGGACATGCACCAGGCAGAGAAGACAGATAGAAACCGTTAGCCTGTGGCTGCAAAGCATGAGACAGAAAGGCTTGGAGAGGGCTGTGCCTAGGGGCATGGCAGGGCTTCTCAAGGCAGTTCCTAAGCCAGCAGTACCAGTACTGCCAGGAACTTGTGATGAGCAGGGGAACCCTTGGCTCATCTCACACCTCAACACCCAGAAATTCAAGGGGCCTGGAACACCTCTCTGGGGATGCAGACCCCCTGTTTTATGGACAGTGTCAGAGTGCACAGGTTGGTGTCCTGGGATGGGCTAAGCCCAGCCTGCTCCAGGCTGCGGGCCCCTCTGCTCCCACTTTCTACCCCTGTTCACCTCGGTCTAGAGCCACACTCAGCTCCACCTGCCCTCAGGCTCACGGCCAGTGCTCCAGTGTCAAGGACATCTTCTTGGACTCCGCCCATCCGACTGCTCCCACAGGGCCTGAGCTGCACCCTCACAGTGAAAAGCACCTTGTGTCAGCTGACTGGGGCTCCCTGTCCTAGGTTGCAGGGGTCTCTGCTTGTCTCTTCCGCTTGCAAGAACTGAGGTGGGGTAGGGAAGAGAAGCTGCCTGCCCCCCTGGCTGCTGTGCCCCTACTGTCCCACCTTTCTATCTGCCGGACTCCAACCTGCTCCTCTTGCCCAGACGCTGCACCCTTCCTTGCACTGCCTGCCCAGCTGCTGTCCCTTACCTGCGTGTGACTGCATGTGCTCCAGGAGGTTGTTGTAGAACTGGAACTGTATTCCACAGGCGCCGCAGGTGTAGGGCTCTGGGAGAAACGAGGTGGTGGGTGAGGAGTGGCACAAGCCCCGAGGCCTTTCTGCCAGGCTGCAGGCGGTTTTGGGAAGCGGGAACCCAAATGCACCAGGGTCTCTGTACTCGGGGCTCTGGGCCCTTGTCACTAAACCAGTGAGGGAGAGGCTGAGGGAGGGAGGACATGGAGAGAGGAAGACATGCAGGCAGAAGCTGTCCAACTCCATGGAGCAGTTCTTTTTATTGAGTGCTTATTGAGTGCCGGGCACCGGAGGGTCTCAGGAGGACAGTTTCCATGGACCAGAAGCTCTTTAGGGCAGAGACTACGCATATCCCCTAGGTCTCAGAGACCAGCAGAGGTTGCCTTCGTTGGCTGAATGAACGAATGAATGAATGTACAAAAGACAAAGTGACAAACATACAGGCAGTAAAGGGAGAGAAAAAGAAAAGAGAAGAGGCCGAGAAAGTGACAGTGAAGCAGGCAGAGGGGACAATAAGATGGGTGAGGGAAGAAGGGCAGGCAGCAGACAGAGGCACGGAGGGAGGATGGAACAAGTCTGCCATGCCAGATCTGTGTCCCCAACGCGCTCATTAGTGCCTGGAAGAAAGAAGAAAAAGAGGGAGGGATGGGAAGAAGAGTGAGGGCAGGAGGGGAAACAGCTGAGGCAGAATCAGAAGAGGCGTGCTAAGTCTGTCCTGACCACCTGATGACCAAGAATGGGAAGACCTGTGCTCCCGCAGGGGCTATGGTGATGACAGGGCATGACTCCGGCCCTGTCTGTGCTCTTCCACCCGCCTGGGTCCTGGCCTGCTGAAGCTGCCTGGGCTGCCTGGTCAGCACACCCAGGCTGGGGCTGCAGGGAGGCCGAGTCTGTTCCCTGCCCTGCCTGGCCCTCTCCATCCACACCCCCCAGGACCACCACTTACTCTGCAGGAGAGGGAAAGGATTGGAAATCAGGGGACTTGCAGTTTCTGCAAAAGAGAAACAGTTTAGCTAAGTCTCTTCCAGTTCTGCTGTTCTGTCATCCAGAGAGGCAGGTGGGACTCGCAGCAGAGTGGGGAGTTATAGGCTGGTGGGCAGGAATGCTTTGGGGAGGCTGGCACAGAGTGCAGGCTTCCCATGGGTGCTGGGGCTACGGGCAGGACAAGATCTGGCAGGGCCATCTCTCTGGACGCCCTCAATGACCTCGAGGCCACAGGAGTCCTGAAGACAGAATGTCCATGTGGTCCCCCACTTTGGGACGGGGCCCTGGAAGGTGCTTCCAGTGGGGACCTTAGGTGCTAAGCACCAGAGCAGCCCCAGGGGGCCGCAGAGCTTCTAGAGGAAGCTGCTGGCTCTCACCCCTTCTTCCACCCTGGCCTGGCGCAGCAGTGCCACGCAGGCAGCACAGGGCGGCCACAAAGAGTAGTGGGAAGTCCAGCCCTCACCACCTTCACTAGTTAGGATCTAGAGGACCTGGAGCTATAGCTGCTGTCTCCTGAGCCTCAGTTTCCTCATCCGAAAAGTGGGATAACAGTAACACTGCCCTTAACACAGTTGTGGCAAGGATGGAAACACGTAGGACACACAGAGCTCTGAATGCATGCTGGACACACAGTAAGCGCTCAATAAACGACGGCTGCTTGAAGCGGCAGCTCCAGACAGGATCATTCCTCCCAACTGTGAATGTCAGCTCTGGTGGTAGGAGAGGCACAGGGGTTACGGCACAGATTGGCTGGGAGCCAGGGCACACCCGGACACCCCAGTTCCAGGGTCCCCACTGCTACTGATTCCCAAATGGCCTCAGGCATTCACTCGCCCTTAGGCCCACTCTTTGGAGGGGGTGTGGGAATTATCCTGTTTAAAACCCTCAGACTTCCCAGGGTATTGAACATCACTGGGTTTGCAAAAAACCAAAACATTTAAAGGCCCCCAAAAAACCACCACCCGAGTTCCCTAACACCTGAGTGTGTAACATGTGTGCCCACAACCACCTGTGGCACACAGGGCCTGTGTCTCCTTCACGTCACTTGCAGTAGATATGAGACTAAGTCACCAGCTGTTAGGTGGCACAGCAGGGTCCAAACCTGGGCTTAGACAACGTGTGGGCTGCTGTTAGGAGGCTGCGCTCCACGAGGGAACCATGTCTGCTACCTGTACACCCAGGCCGGGGTGCCCAGCACCGGGGCTGGCTCAGACTGGCACCTAACATTTGGGCATTTCAACCCTACAAGAGAGTGAGTGCTCGTCTTATCTAAACACACAACTATAGTGGCACAATGCCTGTCCCTTCCTGCTCTGGCTGTCACCCTGCAGACTGGCTCGCTGGTCTTTCTTCTCACACCCAGGTCTGCTAGGTTGAACCCAGGTTCTGCATGAGACAGCCATCAGGGGGCGCCAAACACCATCAGGAAAGCTCAGGCAAAGTATGACCTGTGTTGCAAAGACTGGGGAGGAATCTTTGCTCCAAAGGTCCCAGGTCCAAAGTGGGGCCAGAATTTGGGGCCCCCAGGTCTCAGGGGTCTCCCTACCGTACCCCTTCTGCCTCTCCTGGGAAGAAATTAGATGTGATGCTTATGTGAAAAATATAGCAATGACTCTATTGGGCCAACCAAGCAGGCTGGCAGAGCAGATGCCATGGGTTTGTGGAAGGAGTTCCTCTCTCCATGGGGAAGACAAGGACGAGCCACAGGGGTGTCCCTGGGGAGAAGGCTCCTTGTGCTTCTGCCTGGCCCTGTTTTTCCTCTGCCCCGTACCCAGCCTCCTCCCAACAAGACCCACCATGTACCAGAATAGCCCAACCTAGGGGGCACCTGCAGAGGGGGTGGCAGCAGTTGTGCCAGACACACTCACCGCTGGAGTTCTGTGAACTGCTGTTGGTCTCTTCAAAGTGGTTTTGTGCTTTGCCTTCTACTCTCCGACTGAAAGCGCTTTCTGCTGGGTGGTGGACAGGACAGAGGGAGAAAGCCATGGGGAAGGTCAGCGTCTGGCCTCAAGGAGGGTCCCTGAGGCTGGGTGAATGCTGTGGCTCTGCTGGGCACAGGCAGGGGCCTGGGCTTCAAGGGGGACTTCATGGCACCGCAGGAGCACCTGAACACTGGTGCCTTGCCAATGCCCCCAAGTGCAATCCAGCCAATATAGCAGACAGCACGATGGGGGGCCTGTGTTTGGCTCCCAGACATACAAGAGTGTCGACAAATCACATGACACAGCCATCCTCTGCTCCTTCTATCAGATTCTGCTGTCAGAGCCCCCACAAAGGAGCAGGGGAGACGGCAGCTCCATCAGCTGGGTGAACCCTGGGCAGCAGGGAGGGCATCCTGGACTACAAAGGCACACGGAAGAGATCGAGGGCAGTCCTGCACCCCAGGAAGCCCAGAGGCTGGGGAGGCCGTCCGACTGTGCCTGGGGAGGGCAAAGGGCCCGGTGCCCCCAGATCCCTGCACCGCTACTCACAAGCTGACACAGTCCTCTCTCTGGAAACCCCATGATGCAGAGATAGTTCAGCCAAGTAGAAAGCCACACACTGAGCTGCCCACCCTCCCACGACCCGCAGGAAATACTACAGCAGAAAATCTGAGTTGGGGAGTAAGCCAGCTTTTCCAAGGTGCTCGTGGTACTGCAGAGATGCCAGATGACCAGATGAGGGCCAAGGATGTGCAGCTGACACCCTTCCTTCCTAAAGCAGAAACGAGCTGCACAAGGCTATCACGGCTTGGAAAAGTTCCACCGGTGAAAGACCCATTTCACTTTATTTAATCCAACCTTCCCTAAACAAATCAGAGGTCCTACAGAGGCCCACTTAAAACACTGACTTTGTACTATTCTATAAAACATGGTGACCTCAGATCTTGGAAGCGCACTTTGGGAAATGGTGCTCTCAGCCTGTCCATCCTACTGAGAATGGAAAGTGCTGACTGCAAATTCTGGGGCTCTGACACTCAGAGGGACGATGGGAAAGGAAGGCAGCAGCAGCTCCTACAGGCCTGCCTAGTTCCCTCCACTGTCCCAGCCCACAGGGCGTCCCTCGCACAGAGCGTCCTTTCTGGAAGGGCTGCTGCAGACAGCGAGGTCAACACTTCCCTCAAGTGTGACTTAGGATGCCCGGGCTGCGTGCCACAAGACAGCAGGCACATGTGAGCAGGCTTCTTAGGAAGGGGTCTCGCTCCTGTGATGTGCCAGGCTCTGGCTCACACATGTCACAGCCATGGTCTCCCTCAGTCCTCTCCAAAAACCCTGAGGTTACATTCTGGTTCTCATTTTCCAGGTGAAAAAGCAAGACAGAGCGGGGTTGTGGAGGTCTCAGGTGCACAGCAGCACTCTCAATTCGCTGTGGCAACACGTGTCTGTGGTAGGAAATTCTCACATCTACGGGGGAATAGGCACCTTCCTAGCAAGAGTTTTGTTCCTACCAACATTTGGGTAGAATTTAGCATCACAAATTGCCAACTCTTAACACGAGTCTCCCACGGCTTAGCTGACTGATGCTGTCACTTCCTCACCACAGAAGCTTGTGGCCCTGCAGGCACATCTTGCACACAGGCGTGCTCACAGGCACAGATGAAGAGCCACACACTTCAGGATCGTGAGAGCCACGACAAATTCTCCCTCCAGCATGTACCATTTCCCAGCCCCAGCCAGTTCCTGCTCCCAACCTGTTGCCCTCTGGCCCACCCGGCTGGTAATCCAGATGTAATCCCCAGCACGAGTCTCCCAAGTCCCACCAAGGCAGCCCCACAGCTTGTTACAGGCTCACTCGAGATACCGAGGGCCACATGCTATCACATGAAGACAAATTTGACTCTGGGCAGTCTTCGGTAGGAAGCAGGCCTAAAACCTCCCAGCCACCCAGCTCAAGAGTCTGAGCAGGATCTGGACACCATAGTTCTGGGGAGACAATCACCACTGTCAGGCCCAGAGGACCAGTCTGCTCCTTGCTAATTTACCGCTATCGCGGCAACACCCCAACTGTCACACCACTGTCTTCCTGGCTGGCTGACACTTCCCTTTTTGAAAGATCTAAGCCCAGCAAACTATACCTTTGCCTCCTGAACCAGGGGCACAAAAAGCATAGCTCATTACCCAGCTGGGTCACCGAGTGAGCTCATTCATGTGAGGACATGACTTGATCACTTGCATGTGTCAGAGATGGTTCTGGCCTTTGACGGTACCCAGAAACACCAGGGGCGCCACATCATTCCAACCAACACCCTGCAAATCCAGGAGATGGTCCAATGCTTGCTCCACACAAGGGTGAATCCGAGGAATCCTGACAACTGGTACTTGGCACATAATGGGTATCATCAGTATTCTTGGAGGAAATGACCACTGGGAACTTTTTATTGCTGTTCACCCTTTTGGAGCTAGATCCCTTTTCTGTGTGGCCTCAGAAGGTGCAGGAGCTGGCATCTCCTGGCTCCTGCTCCATCTCTGTCTCCTAGAGTCATTCCATAGGGAATGTTAGATGGGGGAGACCCCAAGCACAGAGCACCAGGCCCACCACTGCTTCCTGAGGAGCGGCTCCATGTTGAAATGAGCACGTGTTCACAGCAATTTTCTTTAAGGTGGAGGTGTGGACTCATGCTAACAGGGTCGGGCAGGAGATACACAGGGATGAACTTGGCTGGATGTACATAGACAACAGTGCAGTCACAATGAGAAATGACACCTGCTGTGGGGCCACTGTGGGGAGAGGCGAGGGGAGTGGTGGGGACTGGGGAATACCGGACAGCACATGCCCTATGAAAGGAGGCAGCCCATTGTTGCCCTGCAGGAACACGGGCCCAGGAGCCAGACCTGACTTTCCAATGTCAGCTAGAAATAAAAAGTTTTATATAAAATCTCCCAAAGTTCAAGGGCTGGTAGTTAGTTTGAGAAGTTTTCAGACCTTGTAAAGGCCAAATAAGACATGCCCAAGGGCATGATTATGGGGGGAAATATTCTATTATTTTGCAAACCTTTTTGTATCACCGTCTGGTTCAGGGCAAGAGAACCTGGCTTGTGGTCACAGAGCCGGCCAGAGGCAGAGCTGGGCCCCAGATTTGTCCCAGAGCATCATGGGCCCTCCACTGTTGCTCTTGCAGGGAACAATGACTGGGCACAGTGGTGGCAGGTGGAGAAAGGCGAGGGTGAAGGAAGTGTGGGGTAATGCCGGCCATCGGTACCTGCAGTCGCCTTGCTTGCCGGAGATCCAGAATTTGGAGTGCGGAACGTCTGGGTTTGGGTGGCTGGAGGGGTGCGGTGTAAGAGCGTGGCGCATCGGACCACCGAGGCAGGAGCTTTTTTCCCCGACTGGTTCGTCTGGGTCTTCGCTGCCACGAAGCGTGGAGATGGAGTGACCTCTGGATGGGAGCACTCAGAACCCGTGTCTGCATCGTCTGGCGGCTCCCACCCGGGGGCAGTACCTGAGAGGGTCATGCTCTCAGTCCCTGAGGGCCCTCGAGGCCGCAGCGTGAGTGGCCTCTCAGACCACAGGTCCCTGTGTCTGGAGTGGGACTTCTCCACCCAACCACTTCTTGCACAGAGAGTAGAGACTCACTCCCACTCACAGGCCTGACCAAACCTGGGACCCTAGAACCTTCTCCAGCTTCTCCTCCAAGAAGCCTAGCCACCAGCTCACACTCAGTTACCTGAATGTCACTGATCAGCCCACCCTGTGAGCCACCTGTGACCCTGGCCAGCCCAGTCCCTCAGGGTCTAGGCCTCGGCTTGTGACCCACACCAAAGGTGCCAAGCACATTTTCGAGAATGCTGCCTTCCAGTCCTTTTGCTCCACAGGAAAGCTGGCTCGGAAAGAATGACAGAAAAAGACAGGCAGGGGTCATGATGGGCTTGACAGGGAAAGCAGAAAGTGTGGAGGGGCCTGGTGTCACACCGGTGTTTGTAGGGACAGGGGCTCTGTGGTCCCACTCCTCAGTGGACAGTGGCTGACAAGGTAGCAGAAGTATGTGCAGCAGGACCCTGGCACTCAGGAAAGCTTGTGTCACACGACCAAGTTGACGTTCCCTCAGCTGAATTCTCTGCAGAAGGTGGCCCCACTGACTTGGTGGACTGACTAGGTGTCCACCTCTGGCAATCCTGGCTGGCAATAGTGGCCTGAGCCCTTGCCAGTGGGTTAAACTCCTAAAAGTGGTCTCTCCCATGCTACATACAAGAGCAGGGGCAGGAATGGACCAGGCAGCGTGGGGAAGGGACTCCTGGGGTGCTGCTCACAGGAGTGGCCAGAACCCACAGGAATTAGTAACGTCCCGTGGGCACCGTCTGTTCTCAGGGCTTGGCCACAGCACTGAGTTGTCCACAAAGGTCCTGGCTCCAGCTTCATGCCTCTAGGGTGGCGACGAGACCTCCCAGGACAGTGCCCGTCCCGGACGGCAAGACAAGAGGCCACCCACTGCTCAGAGCCTGAGGAGAGAGGACCGTCAACCGTCCCCTCTCACTATTCCTGGCACTGGCCCAAAGAAGCAGGATATGGGGCCTTGCCTGACGTCACACAGGCAGTGAGTGGCAGCAACAGGAACCATTGGGGTCCCGTGTGCAGCCCTGTGCAGAGGGATGCGCAGAGCATGCCCCTGCCTACTGCAGGGCGTCCAGAGGCAGCAGCCCGCCACCCAAGTCCCTGCACTCTGGACTTTCACCTTCTGACTGAGGCCCTGCATCCCCCGCTCCTCTTTCCAAGCTGAGGACCTCGAGGACCTCTGGGTCCAATCCCAAGGATGGGCTGTCTAGCAGTATCTTATTTATCTTTAAATACGGAATGAACCTGAAGATTCAGCACAGTGCTGGCATCCAGAATCCATCTCTGATTTCTCCACTGTCCCCTAGCATGAGGGAACAGTTCAGGGACCTTGGCTGGAGGCTTAATGTCACATAACCCTAACTGAAGCTGGAATAGAGCCAGCACCTCCCACGCCCACCCCAAGTCCAGCTCTGACGTCCGGTCTTGTGCCCCGTGCGTCCTCTCCTGGCCTCAGTTCCCCCAGTCTCACTCCACTGATGAGGCTGGGAGGACCCTGGCTGAGTACATGGTCCCACAGGGATTCTGTGAGACTCCCAGAAAGTCACAGCCACCAGAAGGGAAGCTGCTCCTCACTGTAAGCAGCTGCTGCTGGGACCGCTTTGGAAATATGGAAACCAATCCCAGACAGGTTAACAGCTTTCTTCTGGCCATACAGGAAGTCAGTGCTGGGAGGAGACGGGCTCAAGTCTGCTAGCTAATTGAGGCCCTTGCCGTTGTCCTTGCCCCACCCATTCCAGGGACCTGGGCACGAGGACAGAGAGTTCCTAATGGGCTCTTTCCCTGAGGCCTGCCCCTTACCCACAGAACAACTTCTAGGGTGCTCAGGGCTAGACCTTTCCACTGTCAATTCCTGCTGTAAAAACCCAAGAGAGGGAAACCCTTCTCTTACTGTGGCAGGGATCTAGGGTCACCCAGGAAGCACTTCACCAGAAACCTGGGGCTCCACCAGTTTGCTTCAGCCGCCTTTCTGGGACTTGTGGTACCCTTTCGCCTCCTCTTGGGCCACTCACATCTCCGCCTTCTCACCTACAACACCTGCTCCTTCCACATCCGGGGCCTTTGCACATCCTACTCTACATTGGCAGCAACATTCTTCCTTCAAGCTGCTGACTGCGGGCCCTGTCACTACACTTAAGCAGCACTTCCTTAAGGACCTGTCCCTGAGGCCAGCCCCTGGACTATCTGTTGGTCCCCAACCCCTCTCTTCTAAGAGCTGATCACCCCCACAGTGACACACAGTGTGACCTTTTATTCACCTCTTCTTAGTCACTTGTTTGGTGCCCTACACACCACACAGGATGCTGAAGAGTACATCAAAGAGGGGGTGATGGGGTGGCTGCCCAGAGTGAAGATGTGGCTGTGCCACAAAGAAATTTGGCGCAGTATCCTCCTCTAGGCCTCAAGGGAATAAGGCAGATCGGTCAGCCTCGGAGAGGTCTGGGTAGCTCTTACGGGTCACTCAGTGGGTCTGGGCAGAGTGAGATGCACTCAGGCTTCCAATATCTCATGTCACTCAACAGTTTGCTTGTCACAGTGGAGCTGCTACCCAATCTCATACTAAGAAAGACTGACTCCCAGACAACCTGGCTGTCATCGTGAGAAACACACAGGAGCTATTTACACTCAAGCATCTGACAAATAACAGCACTGTATTTCTCCTTTCTGCAAAAAAAAGAGAAAATCCAGGGAATATAAGGATTTGAGAAATGCAATCAAATAACAGATGTGGAGGGACCAGGGGGTCTCTGAAACTCTTGAGGCCGAGGAAGGTGAAGCCAAGGCCAATGGAATCAAGTGCTTAAAGGCTGGAGGTGGGAAGCCATGGCAAATGTGGTGGAGGAGGCAGCCAGGAAGGCCTTGCTTGTGGCTCCACTGTGAAACAAGAACAGGAGAATGTTCTCTTCTGGCCAAAACAGAGTAACTGGTGTAAGTCCAGACCTCCTGCCACCTGAAACTTACAGCTGGAAAGAAATAAGTTTGGGGGCCTTGGTCAATACATGGTGCCCAGCTGCAACTCCCAAGAGAACACATGAGCCCCATGGTCGTTCCAGGGCTCTACCGAGACAGATCATTTGACAGAGTACAAAGAGGTGGCACCCAGACGAAGAAAGCCACTTCCTTGAACTGAGAAGACAATGATCAGGGGTCAGAGCTTCTGAGATGGCTAGAATTTGCAGGGTAGAAGAACAAAGCAAAGAGAACCAAGTGAAGAAAACAATTCCAGAAATGTATAGTGAGACCCCCCCCCTTGATGTCTATAACTGAAAAGCAAATTGCATTAGGGGTCTACAAAGCTGAGCAGGAAATGGCTAACAGAGGGATGATTCAGAAGTCACACAAGACTAGGTGTAGTCTGAGTTCACACCTGTCAGAGAGGAGAAACACTGCTCAGAACATAGTCACATAGTCAGCTGAAACCGGAGAGGCCAGGGCTTAGAAGAGCTAATATAATTCTAGAATAAGAACTCTTCTAGTCTTGCCCTAACACAGCTCAGAACTTTTTGGAGCACCAAGCTGATCTGCAGGCAAGTCAGCGGTCTGCCAGAGTTAAGGCAGTGATTTTGAAAGGAAGAAAACAAAATCCAGCGAGTCAACAACACAGCACCCACACTGCACAGCACAGACCAGCAATTAGTTTTCACCTGAGGCAGGACACAGTGATTAATAATCAAGAGAAAAATATAGAAATGACAGGGTTGAGGGAACTAGGAGACAATATGCTCAAAGATTTGAAGAACAGGAATATGATAAAGAGAAAAGAATGAAAAATATGAAAGAAGTAGCCAAGGGGACTGAATAGAGATCCAGTGGCAGAAGAACAGCTCCGTGAACTTGAAGGCAGGGCAAAGGATGGATCCATACTGAAGTGGAGATGGAAACAAGATTGAACATGAACCTCTGCAGTTGACCTGGAAACACCAAGTACCTACCATGCACAGAGTGAAAGCCTCAAGAAGGGAAGAAAGAGAAACTATGGAAGAAGAACATTTGAAGAAACAGTGGCTAAAATTTCCTAAATGTGATGAGAAATGTAAGCCCACTGATGGAAGGAGCTCAATGAACCTTAGAAACCATAAACACACCATAATCATACTGATAAACACCAGTATAATAGGGAAATATTTAAATGCAGCTAGACAAAAGACATTAAGTATAGAAGCAAAACAATCAGAATAACCACTTTCATTTCATCAGAAACAACTTAACTCAGAGGAAGCAATGAATATTTTTAATGCTGAAAGAAAATGTTCTCAACCTAGAATTCCATATCCAGAGAAAACATCTTTCAAAAAAGAAAGTTAAAAAAAAAAAAACCCTTTTTCATTTGTGAGTTCTTTCACCAATAGACTTACAATGTAAGAAATGCTAAGGGGCCGGGGAGATGGCTCAGTGGAATAAGCACTTCCCAGGCAAGCGCAAGGGCCTGAGTTCAATCCCCAGTTCTACAAAAAAAAAAAAAAAGAAATGCTAAAGCAAGTTCTTGAACAATATAGGAAATTTCTTAATAAATGGAATTTAGATTTACATAAAGAAAACCAACGCACAGAAAACAGTAAATGTGTAGGTAAACATAAAAGGCATTTTCTAGTTGAAAATGCCTTTTATCAAATAGTTGCTTAGTACGTAACATATGCAGCTTTACCTGTATGATAACAGTGCATCATACAGGAGGGTAGCAGCGTCAGCACACTGTACTAAGGCTGGTACATGGACGAGATCTGTTAGGATGAACATTCATCGGGGACTACGCAATGCATTAAAGATGCATAATAAGCCATGGAGTGAAAAACAGTTAATAGAAAAGTTAACAGGAAAGTAAAAAATACTTGCATAGTACTAAAAATGGAAAGGAAATATGAGAAAAAAATAAAATTAACAAATGAGACAGAGAAAACACAAGATGGTAAACTGAAATCCAACAATAAAGTATGTTAAATGTAAATGGATTTGATACATTAATTAAAAGGCAAGGATTTTCAGAAGCAAGAACCAACTGTGTGTTGATACTGCACATATAAAACTGCCAACGAAAAGCCAAGGATGAAAGTAGATATGCCATGTGAACGCCAATCCTAAGAAAGCTGTAATGGCTGTAATTTAAGATTTCAGGAAGACAGATATTACCAGAGATAAAAGGTATAATGCAATTTTACTTTCTTTCTTTCTTTCTTTTTTTTTTTTTTTTTTTTTGCAGAACCGGGGATTGAACTCAGGCCCTTACACTTGCCAGGCAAGCGCTTATTCCACTGAGCCATCTGCCCGGCCCCCTACAATGCAATTTTAAAAAGGGCCAGTTTTGTCAAGACAGAATGATCTTAGGTGTATGCATCTAAGTGTAGCTTCAAGCAAGATTAGCGAAAAAAAAAAAAACGGCAGACCTTAAGGGGGAAAGAGACAAATGCAGTCACAGTTGAGGATTTTGACACTTCTCTAAGTGCCTGAGAAGACAAACTCATTTGTTTGTGAAAAGGTCAAGAAAGGGCACAGAGATCTGAACATTACCAAATGATTTAACCTGACGCTAGAAGGTAAGGCTTTTTTTCAAGTGGACATGAAACACATAAGCAAGAGGGACAATATGCCAGTTCATAAAACACATCTCAGTAAATGTCAAAGATTACATCTCGTACAGACTCTGTACTCTGACTACAATGGAATTAAATCAGAAATCAATTTTAAAAATAAGCTGAATAATTCCCAAATATTTGGAAATGGAATACATTAGCTAATCCATCTTACAAAGAAAATCCCAGCCTTGATGGCTTCCCTGTTGACGTCTACAGAACATGTACGGAAAAGATGGCCAGTTTTATACAAGATCTTCAGAAAGCTGAAGAAGGAAATATTCTTTCCAACAATGATAAACTGAACTTCATCGAAACGAAAAACACATGCTCCTCAGGGGTACTGTATGGAAACAAACAGGCATGCCAGAGACTGGGAGAAAAAGTGAAATACACAATGGACAACAAGCAAATGCCGTCATGTTCAGTATCATTAGTTCTGAGTGAAACAAAACCCACAATGACATACTGCTGTGCACTCAGTAGAACAGCTAGAATTAAGGCTCAGGAGATGGCTCAGTAGAGTAAGTGCTTGCCTGGCAAGCGCAAGGACCTGAGTTTGATACCCAGTTTCACACACATAAAAAAGCTAAATTAATCAATCCTGTACTCAGACCCTGGCAAGACCAAGGTAAGCTGAACTCTCAGACATGGCTGGCAGGAGCAGAAGAGGCCATGGCCATTTGGAAAACGGTTTGTCAGTTCTAGTCAATAACCCAGCAATTCTACCCTTTCTTAACTATTAAAAAACAATGAATACGTATGTCCACAAAAAGCTTTATGCAACTATTTTCACAGTAGCTTTGTTTAAAGTAGCCTATAACTAGAAACAACCCAAAGGCGCAGCTAAATGACAAGACAAAACAGTGTACAGTTTGTATACAACATATACAACTGTACACAATTCATACAATGGAAGATTGCTCAGAAATAAAAATAAATTTTCATGAGAGAAAGAAGCAAGCCCAAGAGTACACACTGTGTCCAATGACAAGAAGTTCTGCAGTCAGCCAGGGACTTTCTGAGTCTAGCCTAAATCTCCTGTGCTGTGTTTCACACACACACACACACACACACACACACACACACACACACACTTCTAGAGTTTGTAGACTTCAGGAACAGATTCATTCGACAAGCAGATGCAGAGAAAGAGAGAGAGAGAGAGTACAACAGAAAGATAAACAAAAACAAGGAACAGAGAACAAGTAGTAGGCAGTCTTCCAAGAGAGAAGCACGAGGATGTCAAGGAAGAAATTAGGGTGCAAGAGACAGCACTTCCCGCCATACCACACTGGCAGGGAGGGGACAGCTTCTCAGCACGGTATAGGCCTGGAGCCAACCAGAAGGCTAAAAGCCACATTGTTTCATCAACTCAGGACCTTACTTCTCCCCAAGGCTGCAGGCTGGCAGAAATGATGCTCTGGAAGTGCATGCTGGGTGGCATCCTCATACCAGGCAACAGGCAGGTGCTACTTCATGGGATCGCTCAGGTACAAGAATAACCCTGATTCCGGCACCTTCTCCATGAGTGCATCAGATGGATGGATGAATGCCCACCCAGCACAACCTCTGTATTTTCTTCAAACACAACCAGGCTCTATGTGGGCACTTGATTATAGCATGCACCTGCCTGAAGGTTGCTTTAGGCCAAAGATATTGGACATCCAGACTCTGAGTCAGAAAGATCTTAACCTCTCACAGATAGGAAAGGTGGGCCCAGGAAAGGGAAGCTAGATGTATCAAGTCACACAGCAGTCAAAGGCAAAGCCAGAAGGAGACTTCTAGACAGTGCTGGACCTCAGAAGATTTAGGTCTACGCAGTCATTGGTACCCACAGTCTGGTGAGGCTGCTGCCTCGGGACCTAACCTTCTCAACCACAGAAAGGGTCAGGACCCCCACAGCTCTCCTGAGAGAAACCTAAGCAGTGAGGTCCCCAACACATGCCTAAATGCTCTGCCTTATTACCCTGAGATGCTGGCAACACAAAGGATGCTCCACCTGCACACACAAGGCTGGAGGGCTCTTCTAGCTCAGGTGCTCAGGGATCTAAGGGGAGAGCCCACCTGACTTTTGGAAAAGGAGGTGGGCAATCAGCATGGAAGCCCCAGAAGGGAAGGCCAGGGGGAGAAAGTTTTGGAGTTTTTCTGGTCCTTGCCAGGGGAGGAGTCAGAGACTGTGGCCTGGATACACTTGGGGCTGTCAATATTCACCAGCAGCTGGGAACCTGCTCAGCTTAATACCCAGGGCTCCAGAGGCCCAGCCTGCCACGCCTGTTGCCACCATGCAGAGTGAAGAGGGACCCGCCTTGGTTTGCCAACCATGCCCCTGACCCAGGTCAGTCCCTGCATTCACTCTGTCTAAAGCTGTACCACACACCTTGGCTCTGGGAGGGGCTCAGGAAGCTCCTGCTATGAAGGTGTTCAGAGGCGGTAGGGATAAAGCCACTGTATGTCGTGGACGAGGGATTCCCACCCTCCTAATGCATCAGGCCCGAGTCCATCATAGGAAGGCTCTGACCTTGCTGGCTGTACGGGAGCCTTCCAGTGGCTGCAGCCCGGGGGCCCAGGTCACACCAGACACCTGGACAGACAGGGACTAAGCTCCCTTTGTTCTCTCTCTTCCCCAGGAGGCTCCAGAACCTGGGCCACAGGCCGGTCTCCTGTTCCCCCCAATGACGCCCCATCTCCCACCAGAAAAGGTACTCACTGATGGGGGCGTGTAAGGCCACATGCTCCTGGTATGGCGTGTAGTACTTGTACTGCTTCCCACAGAATTCACAGGTGTAATTGCCAGTTTCTGTCCAAGAAGGAGAGGAAGGTGTGAGCAAGGGCACCTGCCCTGACCTGAAAGCATCACCCCTCCCGCCCCAACCACACTCCTTCGCATTCCACCATTTAGAATCAACTCTGACTCCACTGCAGCCCTGAAGCCTGGGGCACGTCTTAACCTCCCTCTGCACCTCTATTCCTCTCTTTAAAGCAGAGGTCACCTTGGGACCTTCCGTGATAGGACTGCTGTGAGCGTTAAATGCGTGTGCCAAGCACTTGGAGCAGTAGCTGGCACACGCTGCTCTGCTCTACCTCTCCACCCTCCGCCCTGGTGCTCAGGAAATGTGCGCTGCCCCAGGTGGCCTTCCACACCAGCCTCTCCGCCAGCCCTGTCCTCTGTGGCCACACCTACACCCCTGTCTCCGTAGCAACTGCCAACCTTCAGCAGCAGGGAGTCACTTGGGGCCACTTCCTTTTGTAAGCCACACTAGACTGTATCTTTACCTCTCAAAGGTTCTGCCTAACTTCTTTCTTCTTAAAAATGCCTGATGTCTTATTGTTTGCTGGGAGAAAATTATAAAATACTGATAAATACAGGCACACGTGTTTAAAAGGAAGGAGAAATTTCAGTCACCTACACCCCAAACAAAGCACGCGGTCTACCCTCTGGGGGCAGTGTGCACCCACTGCCACCTGCCCCAGTCTTCAGCTTCACGCTGTCTCAGCTGGGGGGTGCTCCTCTGACTGATATCATTCGTCTGGCTCCTGTGGCCTTGAATTAGTCAGCCTTGATCAATATCCTCTTTGTAACCTGGTATATTCAATCGACAATACTTTGTGGACATCTTGCCCAATCAATAAGAATTGATCTGCCTGGCCTTTATTGGCTGTATGGTTCTCACAGGACTCTGCAATTTGCTGAGCTAGTCCCCTCCACCAACAGACATTTAGATTGTTTCAAAAAAATTTTATTTCCTTATTAAAAAACGCTGTGGCCCACATTCTTGTGAAAATCTTTGCACACGCACTCATTAGTTTTGTATACGACTGCAAAACACAGATTACTGAACGGACTTCTTTCCACATTATTTCCTTAGGATAAATTCCAAGAGGCAGGGGAAAGCAAGCACTTCTAAGCCTTTTGACAACCACAGCATCACTATTGCAAATAGACAGGTGTGAAAGCAACCATCTCCATTCACCACAGCCCGCATTAAGCAATATTCTATCCCTATGCCTTGATGGGAGGAACAATAGTATACATTTTTCATCTTTCATTTCTTTATTATTATTTTTTCTGTATTTTAAAGAAAGGTCTACAGGGTGTTCAGGTTCTCACTACTAGATTGGACTTGTAGTGATCCTTCTGTTTACAGCCTCCCAAGTGCTAGGATTACAGGCCTGCGCCACCATGCCCAGTCCCAACTGCCAGTCTGAATGTGCCCCAGGGGTGGGGCCAACATGGCAGCCCCAGGGATTGAACCCCCAGCCGCTGCACCTGCTTGCAGGTGCTTTAATCCACTGAGCTATTTGGCTGACCCTCCCTGTCTCTTTGATTTCTAAGGAAATTATTTTCCCTGCTTAATTATCTTTTGTAATTTTCCTTTAAAAAATCACTCAATTCATTGTAGATGAAGGATTGTAAACATTTTGCTATACATGTTATAAGCATTTTTTTTTTCTTAATTTCTTGGTCTTTTTGTGTTTTTTCCCTCCCACAATAGCAGCTTCAAATTTTTTGGTAGGTAAAAAATTTTTGTAGTTCACTCATGCACACTGGAAAAGATAGGTGTTATCTGCTATAGATGGGCTTCAAACTTGTTCAATCAACTGCACTAATTACATTATTCAAGTCCTATATCTTTGTCCACTTGCTCTGGCAAAGGTTAATGCTGTGCTATGTCCTTCCACTTGGTAGCATCTCTACATTTACTTTGTATATTTAGATACAATATTGTTTGATGTGCCAATGCTCATGAGATCAGAATCTTCATGAACTCTAAAGAAGAAATTTTTCTAACACTGTGCTTCTCAAAGGCCCCTGGACCAGCAGCCTCAGCCCTTGTGGGGACCGGGGAGAAGGGCAAAGTCTCTGGACTTGCCCAAGACCTGCAGAAGGAAAAATTGTAGGGGTGGAGCCTAGCAATTTGTGAGGCATGGGACCTCAGAAAATTCTGATGCATGGGACAACTTAAGAAGCCATGCTCTGATATTTAAATTATACTGCATTATTAGTTTGCCTGGCTTTAATATTAATTTTTTGGTAATGTGCCACACCCTGCTTTCTGTTTGTTTGCAAGTGCCTAAAGACACGTTTCCACATCTTCCTGTACTTTGATTCATTGACTACAGAGGTGTTGAATACAGGCAAAAAGTGCTGAGTGAGCCAACTGTGGTTTCTGTCTTTAAGAGGAGTTTACAGTCTACACAAGGCGACAGAAAAATTGAATCATCACACAAACAAATACGTTTATTTCTGTATACAGGAGATTGAACCTAGGACCTCGAGCAACAACCTCAGCCTCATTCATTCATTTCTCCATCCACCCACCCACCCATCCATCACCCATCTACCCATCCATCCATCCACCCACCCACCTGTTCATCCACCTGCCCACCCATCTACCCATCATCATCCATCCATCTACCCATCCATCCACCATTCATCCATCCATCCACCCATCCATGCATCCACCTATCCACCCATCATCCATCCATCCATCCACCCACCCACCCACCCACCCACCCACCCACCCATCCATCCATCCATCCATCCATCCATCCATCCATCCATCCATCCACCCAAATTCTGAGACAAGGTCTTGCTAGATTGCCTAGGCTAGGCTTCAACTTTTAATCCTCCAGTGTCTTAGTGATGGGGTTACAAGCCGCCACGCTGACCTCAGACAAATGTGAAACTGCAACAATGACAGGTTACAAACACAGTGGTATGAAAACTCAAGACAGGGACTTTTTTTTTTTTAATAAAACAGGCATTTATTTAAGGTACGGTATCCGCAAACCAGATAACTTTTGAACTGTTTCAGGGTCAACCAAATTCATAAAAATATTTTGAAGACAGTTGCATTTCACAGACTTCATTAAGTGATTACTTCTTTGCCCATTCTTCTCTTTCTTTTCTTTCCCGAATAACCTCTTTGAGATATGGCTCAAGGTAGAATTTATCCTCCTCATGTTTTGTCCACTGCTCTTTAGGCAAAATCTGATGCTTCATGCTCAGGTCCAGGGCTCTCTTAATGCGAAACATCCTGTCATTATAAAGGTTTTCTGGAAGCCTTCTTATGGCTTCTTTTACATCTTCATCTTCATATATTGTATCATCTCGCATTAAGCCCAGCTTATTGAACCCTGCAGCATTGTAATACCACTTCCGAAGACCTTCCAGCCACCGGCTTGATGCTGCAACAGCCGGGCAGCCCACCATCTTGACCCACGAGCCTCAAGACAGGGACTTTAATCTCTTTAAGGAAGTAGGAAAAAGCTCCCTGGGAAAAAGGAATATAAGCCCCAAAAAGGGATTTGCTAGGTATTTCTCTAATAAACCACTACAAATTGAATTATTATTCTAAATCAACTTGACAAAATTTTATCTTCCATCAAAGGATATTATACCATTTATTTCTATCATTATAACTGATGTAGTTTTACAAGTTCACCATCTCTAATCCAAAAATCTTAAATCCAAAATGTTCTCAAACTGGAAGCTTTGTGAACAATCACAAGATGCCATAAGTGGAAAAATTCTACTCCATGTTAATTTGTTTCCTGTGCAAAATTGTTTATAAAAATTGCGTATAACAGGGTATCTCATCTATCTGTCAGTATTGCAAAATCTGAAAAAATCCAAAATCCTAAATACTTCTGGTTTTAATTATTTTAGGGAAGACACACTTACTTGTACTTACTGTGTAATTCTTCTTCTCCTCCCTTCCCCCGCCCCCTCCCTGAATTGAACCCAAAGCCTTGCACATGTTAGGCAAGGGTGTCACCACTGCACTATGTCCCCAGCCCTCCTGTTCTACTCTGTCTGGCTTGCTCCCCTAGCTTCCAGTTGTTCGGTCTATGTAAACACTTCTGCTCCCCCATTGCAGTATCTCTACTGTTTCATTATTTTCCAATATTGGCTGGGGCTCTGTTGTTGATTGTGTACACATGCATGTGTGTTTTGAGTCAGGGACCTGCTAGGTCACACTTGAACTCAGGACAGACTTGAGCTCACTTCGTTCAAGTGTTCAAGGCCAGGACAGCCTCAAACTCATGATCTTTCTTCAGCTCCACCGCCGTGTTCAGCTTACTGCTATTTTACCTAGTACATATTTCTCTAGCCATTATTAGTTGAGTGGAAAAATGGTAATTTCAAGACTGTTATCATTGAGAACCATAGTTTAACCCAGTGCTGCTCAAACTCCAAGATGTGCAAGAATCATTTGGGAAGTCTAGGTCATGGGGCTCCACCGCAGAGATGCAGACCCCACAGGTCTGGGCAAGGGCTGAAGCATACGCACTGCTAAAGAGAAGACGCTGGCCTTGGTTTGGAACCACACTATGAACAGTCTGATTGCCTGTAACCCTCACCCATTCCTTTCTTTTTATTGTTTTTTAAACTCACTTTTTCATATTTTAGGATAATCTTTTGTCTTAGGCTTTCAACTTTACAATTAGATTTGTAGTGTTTTAAATTCCTAGTTTATCTGTCAAAAGTCCTCTTAAAAAAATGGATTCCTCATAACTGGGCCCTTCAATGTGCTCTACCACTTGTTTACTGGAGTGCATACTCAAATAATTTTTGAAGATGAAGAGCAATAGTATGTTTCTGAGCTCTTGTTCTTTATGCATGACACATACTTTATACAGTTATAGAAGTCTGAGATTAAACCACTTCTTCAAAATACATCTACTTTCTTTTAGCAATTGGAATCGCAGAGAAGTCTAAGGAAGCGCATCTTGCACTCATTTGCAGAGACTTGAGTTTTTACACCTGGACAGTATTTTACTTTAGTTTAAAAAATCACCAAGATCTACTCAGGTAAGGGTTTCTCTAAACTGACTCTGGTTGACACACAATGAGCATTTTAAATATGCATGTAAGTCTCTGTCTACTGAACAATTTTTCTTCTATTAGATCTTTGAGTACTGCGTCAGTCCCACGGTGTTAAAACCACCTGTTAGCTAGAATTGGTTTCTTATATATTGTATTTTGTATTGTTGTCCTTTACCTCACCAACCGCATTTCTGCAGACTGAGTCTGCTGTTCACTATCTACACTGTAGGTTTAAATTCTGTTCTTCTATTTTCTGCTTCCCTGAAGTCCTTTCAATTTGATGATTTAACTTATCCTGTTTTTTTTTTTTTTCACCATACAACATCAGGCTTGTTTTTCACAGGGGTCATGCCATGTACTGAAATGAGTCCTCAATGTGATGCGATTTGGGGGCTGGGCCTCGGAGATGGGGCGATGAGGGAGGGGCCCCCATGATGGGATATGCACCCTTAGAGGAGACACCCTGTCTCCTGGCATATATGAACACTTCTGCTTTCCCATTACAGTGCCTCTAGTAGTTCATTATTTTCCAGGATTGGCCGGGACTCCATTGCTTGTGTATGTGTGCATGTGTGTTTTGAGTCAGGGATTTGCTAGGTCACTTCCCTCTCCTCTCTCCCCCTTTCTCCCCTCGCTCCCCCGCCTCTCTCAGCCACATGAGGGTCAGGGAGAAAAACTTGCCAGGACTTGACCATGCTGTCACCCTGGCCTTGGAATTTCAGCTCCAGAATTACAAGGAATTTGATCAAGCCTGTGGTCTCCTGCTGTGGCAGCTCCAGGGGACTAAGGTCGTATTTTCTTGTACTTGACTGAGGTTATGCAATTTTTCTTTTCATCTAGAGTCACTTTCAGAGACGTGCCTTCCTTGGAGTCTCCCAGATTTTCTTTCTTCTTAGGTGGAATTTTCATAGCTTCCATGCTTCTTTTTCAAGTTACTCTTCCTCAGCCAGGCACAAAAATCAGATTAGCCATAAATGGCCAACACGACTTTGCTGTTTCCTGTAGACAGCAGAGTAACCGCTGCCCACCCTCCCCTGGCCTCCAACATGGTGGCAATCCTCAGATCTGCAGTTAAAGGCTGAGTGACCCCAGCACAGTCCTTCTGGCAGGTAGCTTTTGCTTCTCTATGGCTTTGGCTTCCTCCTCCTTAACTTAAATTGGTTCAGCTAATGCCAAAGTGGAAAAAACTTTCCCTTTCTCGACCTACAGTCTTACATGGAGTGACTAGTTCCTTCAGGATGCCTAGTGTCTCTACTGGCTGTCCTTGTCCTACACCTAGCTGTTTGGAAGGTGGGGTGGCACTGGCCTGCTCACCGAAAGAAACAGCAACCCAAGAAGCAGGTCTCATCTCCTGGCAGTTCCTGAGTGGCAGCTAGGTGTAGCCTTCCACGACTTCAGGGGGCTCAGCTCCATGATACCAAGCCGGAACAGTCTGGCTTTCCTCAGTACAAATGCATTATCCTTGTGATCCGTGAAAATGCCTCCAGGTCCTAGCATGGGTTGGCCATCAGACTGAGTTACAGACACACAGAGCAAGTTTCATCTTGCTGAGAATCTTTGTAGGTGGTTAACGGGTCCCACTTACTTAATGATTTCCATGCATGTGTCAAGGACTACTCTAATTCCCTTACTAATATAATCATGCATAATCCCCATGACAAGCTTGAAAGTGGAGTCTTATTGTCATCACCCCACTTTAGAGTTAAACTGGATTAGACAGATCAGAAAATTTGTGGGGGTTCATACAGCTATCAAGTAGAGGGCTGGGACTCAGGTCTAGGCTGGCTCCAGGATGCCTGCCCCTGACATCTCTCAGGAACACCTCTCATTTCTCACACCCTGCCTATTAGTGGGAACCACCTGTGGAGCAGCGAGACACTTCATCTTCTTTCTGCTGCTGTTTTGTTTAGTGGTACTGGGGATTGAAAGCAGGGCCTCACACATGGCTGTCAAGCACTTGACCCCTGAGCTACTTCTCCAGCTGGGGGCTAGGCACTAGGTGAGTGTATTAGGCAGTAGGTGAGTGTACTGACCACAAGCCCTGGAGAACAGAGTTAAGGGACATTCAGGAAGAGTAAACAGCCAGTAGACTGGTGGCGCCAGCCCTCACACACAGGCCCGCTTGCTTCTGAAGTTCACCTTCATCACGTATTGCCCCAGACAAAAAGCACAGGGCTGCTCTGGGGCCTGGAAGATGGTGGACAAGAGGGGAAGGAAGCGGGAGACCAGGGATCCCTCTGGCTCTGTATTGTATCTGAATGTGAATGTCAGGTTCTTTTAGCAGACTATGAATTCTTCCAGCGCTGAGAACCTATCTGACTCACGACTGTGTTGTGAACGCCCAGCAGTCTGGAGGTTGCCTGCATCATCACCCTCATCTCTAAGATTATTTTCATGGTCCTACGCAGGCAGTGCTCACTGCACATGTGACAGGCACCGCCCCAGCCCTTCTGCCAACATTAGCTCCTCTGCAGTTTCCAGAATGCTTCAATAAGGGTTAAAGAAAGCCAAGGTCCTTCCTCTGACAGTGAGCGAGTAGGAGGAATAAGCTTCCTCAATAGGCCCATCCAGTACCTTTCAAGGACCTGCACTGAATTCCTCCTTGGGGTACAGATGGCTGCAGTCTTGTAGTGACTTTGATTCTCCTGCACCCAGATTTCTTCATTCCCTCATTCTATATTGTCTGTGTATATTTTGGCAAATAGTCTTAGATCTTTGTTGTAATGTGACACACAATACAGATCTTCGTGCTGGGTAGTAGATAAATAAGCCATGACTTCCCAAAGGGTTGGAACAAGGAGTCTCGCACACGTGTGGCCCCACCACACCGGCCCCAGGCCTGGCAACCCGACTTCTCCCCAGGCAGCCTGCCCCAGTGCACATGGGTTGTTATGGCACCCATTGGAATTTGTCCCCTGAAAGTTTCATGTCCTCAGAAGTAGGGTTTTCAGAAGGTCACCAAGGCTCTGTACTCTGCAACAGATCATCCTATGGATGAACTTGAGGCTGGAAGTGCCAGTAGGAGCTGCACCCTGGGGCAAGGTGGACCACTGCAGTCGTGACCCGAGGGCGCATTCTTCTCCACAGCTCTTCCCTTCTCTCTTTGCTTCCTGGCTGCCACGGTTGCCATTTCCGCCTTACAGGCGGCCAGCTGTGGACTAAATCCTCGGAAAACCGTGAGCCACAATAAACTCTCCCTTGCTTAAATTGTAGGTCCCAGATGTCTTGTCCCAACAACTGGAAAGTGTCTAATACACAGGTCTCCTAAGACACAAACCCTATCAAGCCCTTCCCCACTTAGTAAACTCTGGTTTGTTCCCATGAAGACAGAGCCCAGATGCCTCCTCCTGAGATTCAGAGCTCCTCAGACCTGAACCTGTCTCAGATTCTGTCTTTCCTTCTCAGCAACAGTGCTTTCTCCAGCTTTTGTGTGTGTGATGCAAGGACTACCCTCATTCCCACTCTGGGAGCTTCCTGGGTTCCCAAGGCTGGACTCTCCTCTTCTGGGCTGTAACTACCTCCCAGTTAGTTCCTGTCTCCTACCCAACCTCTCTGTAAATTACAGAGAGGGCCGGGGCACATCAGTCCTGTTCACTGCTGGGTCCCTGCAACCCTCAAAACATGTGTGCTGGAAACAAGTGAGTCACATGCATGGCTCCCACCCTCCAGGAGATGCACCGCGCCACAGCCACAGATCCTACATGCGGCCATTTCAGCACAGCTTTGTACCCTGCCAAGCCCCTTGGGATGCTGTCCCAAGCATCTGCTATGTATCAGGCACTGTGCTAACAAGCATTTACTGTCACGACCTTATTTAACTCCCCAACAATCCTGGAGGGAGTGTTGTCTTCTCCCAGTGGTGGACAGGTGGGGCTCAGGACAGCTAACAGACTTCAAGGGTACCATGTAGCATAGCAAGGCCACTACCTGCGCTGCCCTCCCTCAACCCTGTACTGTCTACAGCTTCTTGAGCCAAGATCCTGAGACTACCAGCCTGACTGACAGGTGATGCCGCCCCTGCACCGGCACTGGGACTGAGTCCTGCCTCCCTCAGCTGGTCCCGCCCAGCCCTCTGCCCAGGGAGCACCGCATACTTGGACCAATTTTCTGGAATGGTTCTGGGGGCTCCTCCTTCACCTCATCAGTGGCCACGACACCTTGGTCGAAGGGGTCTGGAGGAGAACACACAGCCATTAGCACCCTGGTCATTCAAGTCCACGGAGCCCGACCTGGGACAGACAAAATGAGGGGCCACCAAAGACTCACCTGCTCGATTCTCAGGGGCTCCTTCCACACTAAACACTGCATCCAGGCGGGAGGCAGCCACCACAGAGGGAAGGAAGCAAACAGAAGCCCTGTTAGTCCCTGGCCATTAGGCCCCCTGGCTGCTGCTGCCAGCATCTATGCTAATGAGCTTGCCCCTGGAGCTGAGAGGGCAGCTGTGGCCAGTGTGGAAGCCCAGAGAGGGCATGTCCACACCAGAACACAGCCCACAGCTTAACCCGTCCTCTTCCCAATGAGCAGGTGCCACTCCAGGGGCAGAGAGACACCCTTTCCCTGCTCCTGTCATGGATTCCAGCACGCCTGCTGTCCAGGAGGAGGGCAGGAGCCAGGAGAAGACGCTGGGTGAGAGGAGAGCAGGAGCTGGTGCCCATGGTGGGGTGGCTCAGCTGGGCTGGGGTGTGGGGCTAGACGGAGAACCCTAAGGTCTTCTGGGTCAAAGACCCTCTTTCTAGGATTCTTAAGACTCCACAAATGAATCACCTAAGCACACTGTTCCAATTTCTAGCTCCATAATCTAATGTTGAAATGCCATTGTTCATTTTTAAAAATTGATTTAATTTCATTAGAACATGCAGATATGCAATATAAAACTATACAATGACACAATACGAAATGTTGACCTATAAAAATAGCTATTTCATTTGGGGCATTCCTAACGGAAACACACGGGGTTACCGACGAGGGCATTCCCTCCACAGACTCCCCAGGTCAGCCACTCCCCTCCTGTTGTTGGCTGCCATTGGACCTTTCTCAGGTGGGCAGGATGGGACAGGTCCCCCAGGAGGGGCCCTGCTTGGCAGGGCTCAAGGAGCATGAGCCTGACTCACCATCCACAGCGTGCAGGTCCCGGTGCTCTTGGAAACAGCTGTAGTACTTGTACTTCTTCCCACAGATGTCACACGTGTACCTGAAGTTGTCTGCGAGGGAGGGAAAGCCACATGTGCCTACCAGGGCTTCTGCAACCAGGATGGGAGTTTCCTGTCAGCGCATCTGCCTCGGGGACCAAAGCTGGGACCAGCCTAGTGGGGCGGCAGCTGGATGGCCCCATGGATAGTCTGTTGCTGAGCCGCTGGGGCCTGGGAACGGCTACATCTTCTGAACCCGACGGGCTGCAGCCAGCCTGTGCCCTGCAACACTCTGCAACTCCTTCGCCATGTGCAGCCTCAGTGCTACCCTCGCCTCCATTCCAGGCCAGGCCTGAGCTGCCACCTGGATGCACAGGGCTGGAGCTGAGGTGTTAGGAGTCCCTACGGTCATTCAGACCACATTAGGTAACAGGGAGTCCTGGGGGACTCCCAAATCAAACCTCTAACCTGCCCTATGGAGTCGGGTACCTCAGGGCCTCCTGGTTCCTAATGCCTCTGCTCCCATCACAGAGGTTGGGAGAACAATAACCGCAGCAGTTACTGCGTGTGGGGCACCAGGCCAGGTGCGTCCCTGCCTTTCCCCAGTCCTTGCAACAGGGAGCAAGCAGACTCCTGTTCACCCCCGGGGAAACTGAGGACCAGAAGAGACCTGCCCCAGCCGCATAGTGAGGAGGGTGGGCAGTTGCAAGGATGGAGCCTGTGCTCTTCCTCTGCTGGAGACTCATTTCCCGTGAATGTGGGCTCGGCCTCGGGACTAGCTGCCGGTGAGCAGTGAGCTCGACATGTCACTTTTGGAATCAGGTCACCCAAGACCCCACCTCTTCTCTTACACACCCCAACCCTCTCCTGTTCACCCCTAGCCAGCCACCATGTTGTCCAGGGCACTGGGGAGAGACGTAGGCAGTGAGGGGCCAAGTGATGCAGCCTCTGGTGAGCGGCCACGGGGCATCCAAGACCCTGAGCACAGCAACCTGGCGGGACTCAGCCGTGCTCACCGCCAGTGAGCGAGCCCAGCAGAAGCCCTTCCCCGCTGAGCCTCGCGATGTGGCCACAACTCCAGCCAAACTGCTACTGTAGCCTTGTGAGTGCCCCGGAGTCAGAGGACATGGGGCAGCCACACTCAACGCTGGCCATGGCCGCTGGGAGGCAACAAGTGTCTGCTGCTTTCCGTTGCCATGTGGCAGGGAGACTGCCACACAGCAGTAGATAACACAGGCCTGAATTGGGAGGAGTCCCCAGGTTGACCCATGCTGAGGCTGGAATCAGGTGATACCCTCCCTAGGCTGGCAACACTCGATGTTTGTACTAGCACAGATGGGCATGCATACTCCTTTGGCTAACCTCGGGCAGGCCCACCCATCTCATTTGCCAGAGAATCCCCAGGCACGGGTGTTTTGACAGCTCGCTCAAGACCGTATGAGAGAGGGAGAGTCAGGACTCAAACATCCAGTTAGCTCCAAGCCAAAGCCGAGTCGGGGCTTTCTCTTCTGTGGCCTTCGTTTCTGGCTGGGACATTTCCATTTCACCCTCAGTATCGAGTCCTGCTTCCCCACTGACCCCTCCAGGTGGAGGAAAGATCACAGAGGATCTGGTGCCAGGGCCTCTCCCAGGCTGGCCTCCAGGACTGCAAGCTAGCTAGGGTTTTAATCCTCTCCGATGGCCAGTGCAGCTTAGACCCCCAACCTCAATGCTCCTTCCAGGTCCTATCTCTAGTTTTTCCCCTTGTTCCGCCCTCATTGGAGATCAGAGATGGAGAAATCCCTGGGGGCTCTGGTTCCGGATGGGGCTCCACCTCTATATCCCCTCTCACACTGACCACTGCTGTCCTATAGCGCTTCTTTCCATTGGGCCCTTCCACCACACGCCACAACAGCCACCCCCAGGACAACAGAGACCCCCAGGTTTCTGCCACCAAGAAGCACCTCAACGGCCCTGCTGAGCTGTATACTGTGATACTTTCTCAGTGTGGGTGGGGAACGTGCTCCCAGCTCCTAAGCCATCTTCCCAGGGCCAAGAGGGAAGAGAGGTGGGGTCTTTGGAGCAGTAGATGAGGGCAAGAGTCATCCCCAAAGGAGGAGGCAAAAGGAGTTTTCATCAGTGAAACCACCCAAGGAGTTCTCAGAATCCCAAAGCCATGTCTCAGGAAAGCCTAAGAAGTGGGCTCTGGAGTGAGGCTGCCCAAGCTCGAACCCTCCTCTACCACTTAGAAGTGTGAACTCTTGGCATGTTCCTTAAGCCCTGTGCCTCTGTTTTCTCACCTGTAAGATGGGAATAATGATAGTTCCTTAGTTTTCAGAACTGTAATAAAGAGTGAACTTTACAAACAGTAAACTAATAAAGAGTTGTACTAAAGAATAAATGAAAGGTGGGGCTTGGCTCAGTGGTAAAGCACTTGCCTAGTATGTATAATGCCCTGGGTTTAATCCCCAGCACTGGAGAGAAAGAGAATAAAACGCACAACGCTAGCATCTGGTAAACACTTGGTCAATGTCTTACGAAGAGAATCAACAAGACAGTAATAAACTGCACGCACTCCTCACTCTACCCTCTCAGTTCAGAATCGGGTGAGAGATGTACCCTTATACCTCTACCTGTATTGTTTCCCTAATAAAAAACCAAAAACTCCCTGGACTAGTAATGTGTGTGCGGACTATCAGCTCTGCTGCTAACGATTCTGCTCTGGCACTCAGCGTCCTCCTCTGCCAAGTGGGCAGGCTGGACAGGATGTCCTCCACAGACCCCTCCAAGATTGCACTACCAGGCCCCCTTCAGTAGGTGGGTGTGAGAGCCCCAGAGGCCTGGGCCAGGGTGGAGGCACGAGGCTGAGAAGACAGCAGAGCACATGGCAGAGGTGGGAAGTGCGCAGGAAAGAGAAAGTGCAGGAAAGCCTAAAGCTTCCAGCCACACAGAGCCCAGCCCAGCAAGCCTGCACACAGCCCCAGCCAGACAGAGCACAGTGGCTCCGGGGAGGGCCAGGGGCTCAGAAGAGCCAGGGAAGGAGTGATTCATGTCTTTAAATGTGCACCTGACCACAGGTAGACTATGGGAGCAGGACCAGAAGGAAACCGGGGGAGAAGAGGGCGGTCAGGGCCAACACAGAGAACTGGGCTTGCCCAACTGTAGAGAGGGACAGGGGCCACGCTTCGGAAGAAACGTTAGCAGGACTCACCCCTGTGAGGCTGCCTTTCCAGGCCTGAGTACTTCAGAGCCCTCTGCCTTGGGTCTATTTTGTTTTCAGTAATGTTTTACTTATGAAAAACATCTATGGTGGTACATCAGAGTTGAGAAAGGGGGGTGAAGGGGGCCACACATGGCCCCTGCAGAGCCCCTGGTACAAGGGCAGGGTTCAGTGCTCAGGAGAGAGACGTCAGGCCCCTGGGATCGAAGCTGCTCCCCACCTGGTCCACTACAGAAAACAGCTGCTGAACTCCAGCCCAGGACAGTGTGCAGGAGATAAGCAGACAGCTCAGTCAGGGCTCACATGGCAAAGGAAGCTGTGGGGAACCCTCCCAGATCACACAGCAGTGGCACAGGCCCCTCCTCCAACAACCCCCTCTTCTAATGCTCACGGGGCCCCCAGTTGCAGTGTCTGCATTTTCTGTGGGGTTTGGGGAGGACTGATGTCTTGGCCTCCCTGGCTCCCTGGTGCACTTGTGAGAATGACCTGTGCTGGGCAGTCTACACTTGCTGCAGGACAGCAGCCCCACGTGGACACACTGCTCCACTCAGTGAGCGCGGGGCAGCTGGGTGGCTTCAGTTTAGCGCCCCTAGGATCAGCGCACTGCGAGCATTCTAATTCTGCCTTATGGCAGACACATGCAACTGCTGGAGATCCGCCTAGAGGCAGAATCGCTGGCCCTGGAAGCTTGGTGCTGGGTGAGCAGAGGCTCAGTGTGGTCCACACCCGCATGACTACCTGGTCTTTGAGATTCAGGGCTGGCGAGCCTGTGAGTAGCTGTCCTTAGACGTCAAGGCCCCACATGGCACCCTGGGACACAGTGTCTGCTGCACGTGCTCATGAGGAAGCTCTCTGAAGCAGCATCTTTCCAGTCAGTGACACAACCCTAGACTCACAAGTCGGTGTCAAAAGAACATAGGAAGTTCTGCACTGGCTAGGCCCCTGGGGACGGCTGAGTATGTGCGTCAGTGATGGCAGGGGTGCCTGCTCTTTCGAATGCGAGGTAAGAGTTTCTAAAAGCTATTTGCCCAAAGAACCTTTCATGGACAGAACACCTATTGACCTCCCAGAATGGGCATGCCATGGAACCCACTCTGGGAAAGGCCACTCTGCGTTACTGTGTTCTGATTTCCCAAGGACTCTCTGGCCCCTGGGCCTGGGCCCCAGAAACGTGGCTCCCAGCAGCTGTTTGGGCCCTGTCAGGGAGGCGGCTCCTCTTTCTTCCATACTCAGCTCTGGGCCCCCACCAACCCACGAATGGGGAGAAATACTCACTGCTCTGGGAGGCTCCCTCCCCTGAGGTGGCTTCGGTGTCTGTGAGAGAGAGAGGGGGAAGGAGGTGAGGAAGTGCTGCAGAGAGCAGCAGGGCTGGTGCCACTCAAGAGTAGCAAAAGCCACAGAGGACAATGCCTGACCTCAGCTTCAGGTGGCAGTGTCCTTCTGGCTGGATCCACTGTGAGCTGTCAAGAGGAGCACACGGGGTGACATGAACTCATGGCCTCTGGGGTGGTTGACATGGCCACGCTGGGCATCCTGCCCTGCACTGGAGGCCTCCCTTTATGGCAGGGCAATGGGGGCACTGGAGAAGACAGGCACTGTCCAGGCCTCTGGGGACATGGTGAAGAGCTCACAGGAAAGCCAGGCAGAGAATGGGAGGAGCAGCCCAGGAGCCCACTCACCTCGGTGTGCCCGCACGTGGGTCTGGAAGCAGTTGTAGTATTTGTACTTCTTCCCACAGATCCCGCATTCGTAGGACCCTGGAAAACACAAGAGGAGAAAAGCAGTCAGCCAGGCCCATGCCTGCGACCGCCGAGCTCCCGGACCCAGGTGGGACAGCTTTCAGGTGCTACTAACTCCACGTCCCTGGGCAGAGACAACTCTGGCAGGCCAAGAGGGCACAGCCCCAACGGGCTAGAAGTCCCAGGGCCTGAGGTTTGTCTCCAACTTCTGCGTGATCTTGGGCAAGGTACCCCCACTTCTGAACCTCAGCCCCCATATCTGTAGACGGAGAAGTAGCTGTGTCAGCTACCTCTCACACTCACACCCCAAGAGGAAAGAGGAGATGAACACAGAAGTGGTGAGAAAGGACTTACTGCGTCCACAGAAAGAAACCTCCCCTCACCGCATTACAAGAATGCCCAGCCACCCCTCTCAGGAAGAGACCAAGGGTCGAACAGACTTCAGAGCAGATGGACTTTGGTCCTTCTCCCCCTTCTGCCACTTGCCAGCAGTGTGGCCTTCGTAATTTCCTGGCACACTACACTCAGCCTGCAAATGCTAGATGGGCCCAGAGCACCCACTTCCAGGGTGGCCCTCCCTGCCCCTTATGAATTGTCCAGCCTAGTCTTGATTCACAAGACAAGAATAGTATGCATCCTTGTTCCTTCAAATAGACAAGACAGACGCCAACACCCCGGAAACACCTGGTCCAGCCCCTGCTGGCCTCCTCCCTGGAGCAGGCAGATGGGAGCAGCTGACCTCCCAGGTGAAGAGGGCCACCATGCAGTGTGAGGATAGCCTATGGTTGGAAGCTGGGCAGAGCTCCTGAAAGCCAGCTGGGCAAGGACGCCAGAAGCCGAGGCTGTGCCCACTGCCACCCACGAGGGCCTTCAGGCAGGCCTGACACCCTCTGGGCCTTTGGCCCAGCTCTTCCAAACAGAACGTCCAGGGAATAGACATAATGCAGATGCCCCGGGCAGATCTGGGTGCTCCAGAGTGGCTAGGGATGGGGCCTAGGAATCTACCTTTTCCAAAAAGCCCCAGAAGATTCCAATATCTAGGAACTGCTGGTTTAGAGTATACTTGGGCTGGTGCTCTGCTGTGCCTCAGTTTCCTCATTGGAAATCTGTGGTTATGCAACAGGGTCGATGTGCAAATGACAGGAGTGAACAGTGTTCCCAGCAAGGCCTGGATACTTACAGGGGCAGTGACTGCTACCTGTGATTCTCTCCGGCTCTGTCTTTTACGGGGTGTAGATACAGACATTGGAGCAGCACTGGGTGCTGAATGTCAGCTCAGCTATGCCACCCCTTACTGCATGATCTCAGACCCACACGTCCCTTTACCTGTCCGAGCCTGTTCTCTCACCTGTTGACAAATCTATGATGCCTGCTCCTCATAAGTGAGATCAGGGCCAGAAAGAGACAACATGTGGACTGGCTGGCGGATGGGAAGCACCCTCTCATGGGTGGCCCGTACCAGTGCCGCTCCCGGGTGTCACTCCAGGGAACGCTGTCATCCTAACATCCATGTGGAATTTAATGGTTTGTTATTTACGAGTTGTACATGGGTTACCCCTGCCACACAGGGAAAATATAGCCAGGCGGAGGGCGAAGACCAGGCCGCACATTTCTTTGTGCTTGGCCCTGTGATTGGCACACTGTGAGGGCTCCATAAATCCACGGCGTCTCACTGCGGCACTCATCTGTCACCGAGTCGTAATGACTCTGAGTCTCCTCTGGCCTCCTCCACCCTCTCTTCAACAGTTTCTGCCAATTCCCCTTCAGCCAAGCAAGGATTTATTGAGCATCTGCAACAGGCCAGGCACGGAGGCTCCAACAATGAGTCAGATCCAATTCCTGCCCTCCAACTAATGGGAAGCAGACTGGCCAAGGCCGGGGTACACCACCAGGTGATGGCATGTGACAGTCAGAGCAGGACCTGAGACATCGCAGTGGCAGTGAGGGCTGAAGGCCTTGGCATCTACACTGTTCACAGCCAAGCCAAGTCCTTCCTGGCTTTATGGGCTTCACACCTCATTCCCAATCTGTAGAACAAGCTGTAGGACCCTGGGAGCCTTGTTAGAGGTCTCAGACAGTCACAGGGGTAAAGGAAGCAGACTTTGGCTGTTTCCTGACCCCTGGCACAGAGTAAGTACCCAGCAAAAGCACTGGCAGGAGGGACATTGCAACCTGCCCCTCACTCACCCTCAGCACGCCCACCCAGCAGTCAGCTATGTAGGAGGTTAAGTCAGGAGGTGCTCCCCAGAGCAGCAGCCCTATCACACAGCAAGGCCAGCCAACCTGGGTTCCAACGCTGACCCGCCTTGTAGCAGTCAAGGAAGCCCTCACCAAGTCACAGGCTGATCCAAGGCTCACGATGCCTTTTGATGAAACTGCTCATCGTGGGTGTACAGGAGGTGGCAACACACACAGTGTATGATCAGCGCAGTGCCTGGTACACAGAAGGCACTCCGCAGACTGCAGCTGCTATCATTACCACACCTCAGGTTTTGTCTTTGGAACTCAACTTTCTGGATGTCTCCCAGGATAAGAGGACTATGGCCAGCTGAGTGTGAGGAAGACCTCCTGGTGGGGCTCTTTCCGGGGCAGGCACAAGGCAGGAGCTTCTGATGAATCTGCTATGAAGGAAGCCACTGCTGTTGAACGTGAAGACTTAACATATGTGGCATGGGACCCTCTTCTCCCTTGGCTTGATTCCCAATCGTAGCCCCAGAAAGTGCTGCTGAGATGGCCCAGGCAGTCAAGTCTCCAGCCTTCCAAATGCTCTGTCATCCCTCTAGCAGCCAGACTTCCAGGGCCCAGGGAAGCTCAGAGCTGCTCAGGCCAGGTGGCACGGGGTGTTGGGGAGGGTGGCTCCTTGGGCCCTGAGATGGTGTGGGGCTTGTGTTCTTAGGGTGTGCAGCTGCGGCTGTGTTTAGCCCTACCCCGCCCCATACTGACCCACATCAGGCCCTGTCCCTTGGCCATCACGTACCAGATGCATATCTCAATGCTTGGTCAAAAATCCAGGTCCCTGAATACCGGCTTCGCACAGATCCACCGTGGGGGCTGCCTTCGGGCGCTTTTCCATCTGAATCACGTGAGAAATCAGAAAGAGCCCTTAACATTGGAGAATGCCTGGGAGTTGGGGGAGAGGCAAGGGCAGCCGGAGGGCCTGGCGAGGCTTAGCCAGTCACCTGCATGGTCGCGGGGCCTCCGTCTGCCCAAGTGCATGCTGGAAGGGTGAGTAAGACCACACCGTGTAGCTCCTCACTCAAGAATCTGTGCTGGCCCGGGGTACCCACTGTTCCCCAGGGAGGGTGGAAAGCTGGGACAGGCCATGCTTTCTGTTTTCTCTGTATCCTGCTTCATCATGTGGTGATAACATAAAAGTTCTCCCCCAAAACCTTCCAATAAAATGACCCCAAAGAGATGTGCCCCTCATGTGCTACGACCAGTGCTTCCTGGCCCATGGCACTGTCGGCATACAGAGGCACAGGGGATCCTCTTTCGGGTTCTCTCGGCTCACCGTCCCCTGCCCCAACGCAGACCCTCTGGCCCTGCATGCTTTCTTGTCCTCTGGCTTACCAGCTGCTTCTTTCTCTTGCATGAACCTCAGCAAACACTATCACCACCTGCCCACTGAATGCCAGGCATGCCAGGCACCGTGGCCCATGCCACCTGCAACATCTCCATGCAGACCTGGCCTTGGACCCCATGGCACAGGTGAGGGAGCAATGTGCCCAGTGCCTAGAGGCAGTGAGTGAGTATGGGCCCAGCTCCAGGGCTTCCCACATCAGCTCAGTTCACTGTCACAACGCCATCCGATCACTACCACCGTTAGCCTCATTTTCCACAGGTAGGAGTTGAGAATTAAAGGGGCCACACTTCCTGCCACAGGCTGCCCAGATCTGCCCTGTCCTCGAGCCCTTGCTGGGCAGAGACAATGGTGCCTGTGAGTGCTAACGGAGCACCCCTAGGCCTCACTTCCTTGCTCTGTCTCTCAACACATCTTCAGAGGTTGGGCCGACCCTACCTCCACTTCCTAAGACAGCATAGTGCTCAAGGCACCAGGGTTGGGGCCAGTACCTCCATGCCAGTGCCTTGCTCCAGGGCGGCAGACTCCTGCCAAGTCTGATACCTCCACAGAACTCCTAAAAGTTCCCCACCAACTACCCTGAGCGCAGCTGGCAGGCTCACCAGCATCCTGGAGTCCGGTCGGCTTTCCTGGTTCCCACCACCACCTGGGATGTAAGAATTCACAAGACAAGGCCTTGTTCACAGCTCTTGCTTGTGTGTTGTGGCACCTGGCAGAGCCTTGGCTCAGCCCCCTCCCAGGGAGCAGGTCGGGAGGCCACTGTGGGGGCAGTCGTCAGAGGACAGGAAACACAGGGGTCAACTCTCAGTTCCTATCTCACATACCTAGCAAGCGCCAGAGAAGACCGAGGAACTTTCAGAACACACAGAAAGCAAGGAGACAGAAATGCAGAGCAGGTAAACGAGACAAGCACAGTTCAAAGGCTCAGGGCTGTCCAGCACCTCGTTCTAAGACACGACACGAGCATGGCCAGAGCCTGCCAAGACTGACAAGACTTGGAGGCAGAAGCCGGCACAAGGGGGTGGCTGGTGGCTCTCAGGTCCCAGGCCTTGTGCCACAGGGTCACCAAAATGGGCACGGCTCCTCTGAGGAGTGCGGAGGGGCTCCCTCACTGCTGCTTTCCCTCACACTTCTTCTCTACCCTTCTCCCTCCTTACTCTCTCACCTACTGTAATCTGACCATCTTGCCTTCCCCACTGGAGGAAAACTCGGGAGCTCCAAAATCCCAGGGCCAGGTTCAAAAAGTGACAATCTCCTCACTGAGGACAATTCCTTTTCTGAATCCAAGGATTTCCAACCCTCAGCTTTCAACCAAAATAAAGAAAGAGGGAATGGAGCTGTTAATGGAGAAACCACTAAAAATACTGCCTGATTACAGGCCCAGCATGATTGCTGGCAAACATGTTGGAGGGAATTCAAAGAGCAGAGGGACATCGCTGACGCAGGCCCCGTGGTCGCCAGGCCCCTGCTATGAGCTGCAGCGTCCCAAGTACTAACTTTGAGAAACACAGAAAACTAAGAATAAAATGAAGGCCGAGTCTTGTCTCATTCCAGCAATAAGGAATATTAATTTGCAAATACATGGGAGAAATAAAGCCATAGTTATTTTATTAAGAAATGCATTCTCAACGATTTTTTTCTATTTTACATTTACTATTTATCTGAATTTGTTTCCAACAAATTGCATGTTAATAACTCAAAAATAAAAAAGGGGGTTTTAAAATAGAGTTTTATGATCCTAGGATTCCCCCCCCCCCAGAAATTTCTATTTCAATTTATGTACTTCTCGTTGTGGTGAATGAGTGTGAAACTGTGATCAATAAAAGACTTTCAAGCATAAAAAATATATCACATTAGGATAAAACCCTGTGGGGGAAGCGGAGTGGAAATACGAGTTCAAGGAGAAAAAGGAAAGATATAAAATTTCTGACTGCTGAAGATGAGCTTGTTCATATGTGTTTTAAGTGACAATGGCGGATATCAAATAGCGATGGTGTTTGGATTCCCTCGGATACCTTCAGAAAGAGTGGCTCACAGCTTCATTCCCAATGTCACCTTTTTTTAAAGAAAATACAGTATTTCAGAAACCGTATCCTCTGCAGTGACTTCAATATTGGATAAAATGTTAAATGTCAACTTAGAAATGCAAAAAAGAACACACTGTTTCTCCAATTTCTTTTAGGAGGTACCGAACAAAAAAAACATATGATGACACACTGGCCTTTTAGATTCCTACCATACCCGAGATTACCCCAGAGATGTCTAGTTCCTGAGGCTTCAGCCAGTCGTGGCATCTGGTTTGTTTTTTCATTCCAACCTTGAAAACCCTCTTATACCTATTATCTGCCTCCCACAACCCTTCTGGGAAGGATGGACTTCTTTACACCTAGGACTATTGAAGGCACTGTAGCTCCAAGAGTTCAGGGCTCATCTGGACCCCTCCGCCCTCCTGAAGTAGCACACAGGAGCCCATCCCTACAGGGCTCCTCCAACAGGATTCCCTTTCCCCTTCAGACCACCAGATGGAGAATCCATAGCAAAGACAAGTGGGCCGGGAGCGAGGCCAGCATCCTTCCTCTCCGCATGGCTGCAGCAAAGAGCCGAGTGTTGGGTCTGGCAGTCTCAGGCGCAATGCTCTGCCAACAACCTATTGAAACAGGAAACTAACTATCAGCTGGCACTCGTAAGCAGGACCTGGCACCTTCACTGCCTCGGTTTGTCACAGGCCCAAACCCACGTAGCTGTGTCTGAGTGGCTGTCGAGCTCTGCTGTTGCTCTTTCTAGAGCCATGGCCAAGCCGCCACCTCCTGGCTACAGCCCCTTCCTTCTCGCCGGGCAACCCTGCACATGTGAAAACACCTCCTTCCCTGGGTGCTCAAGGCTCCCTGCCAGGACTGCATGCAGAATCCAGTCTCCCATCTGATCCCTGACTCCCTGCCCAGCGATCCTCTCTGCTCACCTGCCTCAAGAAGGGCAACTCACTCCACAGACCTGTATTCAATTACCAAACAGCTCCCTGGCCCTCAAGTCCTCCCTTGAACTGAAATCACCTTCTGGTGACCTCTCCATAATGGTTGGGGTTACCAAAACTGTGTCTGCTCCACTGTCCCCCTCCCCCAAAAAAAACGCTGTGAGTTGTGAATCATCCTCCCCCTTGCCACCCACTGTCCCAGCCTTCTCTTCCCCACAACACACAATCCTTAACTTCCACAGGGCTCCTTTAGCCTCTGAGGTAACCCTCTGGCAATAACCTGGGTGGTCCACATCCTCCATGAGACGAGGAGCCTGGTAAAGGCAGCACCACTCCCTCCCTCTCTCCCTCCCTCCCTCCCTCCCTCCCTCCACAGTTCTGAACCACCACTGGGAAACTTGGTGCACTGAGGTCTCCACATAGCCCAGGCCCTCTTGGGACTCCTCATATGGCCCTCTTGGGGATTAAAGACCACTGTTCCCAGAGCACAGAGAGCAGCAGTCACGCCGTACATTATGGCCACCATGGTGGATTCCACGTATCCTTATCTATTAGAAGCAGGAAATGGCCCTGGAGCTGAATGTTCTGGAAGTCCAGCTTGCCTTGCTACCATCTAGGGCAGGGTCCCCAACTTCCACACCACCAGGTCAGCACCAATCTACTAGGAAGAAGGCCGCACAGGAGGAGATAAGTGGTGGGTGAAGGAACAAAGTTTCATCTGTATTTTTAGGCCTTCCCCATTGCTGCTCTTACTGCCTGAGCATCACCTCCAGTCAGATCAATTGCAGCCCTCGATTCTCCTGGGAGCAGGAACCTTACTGTGAACTGCGCATGTGAAGATTCTAGGTTATGTGCTCCTCATGAGAATCTGATGTAATAATAACAGAACAAAAAGCACAGTAAATGCAACATGCTTAAATCATGCTGAACCCACCTTCCTTCTAATCTATCGACTGTCTTCTAAGAAATCAGGCCCTGGTGCCCCAAAGGTTGGGAACTGCTGATATGGACAAGAACAGCAAGCAGCTCTCCTCTAGGCAACAGTGTGCAGAGGCCGGGGGGCAAGGCCTGCTGTGAACATGAGACCGGGCACCATGATGGCCCTGCCCAGGGCTGCCGTCCAGAGGCGCGGCTGCAGCTTCTCACACGGACACAGGCAGGCAATACCTTGCTGCTACTAAGTACTTCCAGTCTGATGGAACAAGGGCATCACGTTCACTATTATCCGTGCTTTGCTATGGTAGGAAGCTTGGGGTTCTCATTTCCAGATCCACACCAGCTCCAACGACAGCAGTTCTAAGGGTGAGAGATGCCCTTCTCCGCATAATTTTCTGGCCCACAGGGTAGTAGCAGCAAGTGCTGCAAACCTGGTCCTCAACCTTCTGGGCACCAAGGCCCTTCTGACTCTCAGCCACAGGAGCTGCTCAGCGCTGTCTGCCCACTCATGACCTGAACTGCTCTCCAGGAAGGGCTTTGGATAATGTCTGTATCACGGAGAGCACTGTGTGCTGTTCTTAGCGGCTAGTGGGAACTTGGAGCAGCTCTTCATGCAGCAGCACCAGGTGAATAGATAGGAACACATTTCTGTTCCACTACAGAGGCTGTGTCTAAGCCCAGGGTGTGGCTGGGCCAGCAAAGGAGAGCAGAGCAGAGCAAGTACACTCCCCACCAAGTGCCCCAGGAACATGCCAGGGGCCCATGTCCAACCACCAGGACACAGAACACACACAGTGGCACAAATCACTGAAAGGCTTGGTTTCCGCCAGCTGCCCACCACAGCCATGACCCCAGGACACTTCCTCTCCCTACTTTACTTGCAGAAGTGGGCACAAGGCAGGTATAGGGAAGTGTGTGAGTCCTTCATAATGAGGAGGCAAATATCACCAGCTTGCTATGTAACTGAGCAGCTCTCCCTTTTCACAGGCTTTGTTAGCCTCTCTATCATCAGGGGTCAGGGGTAGTACCAGAGGATACCATGGATACCTACCCCTACACCCAGGGCAGACATCAATGATCAATCACACCACTCTTCAGAACCTTCATCACAGAACTCCTAATAGCAATTGCTTGGTCTTGGCTCTCAAGAGGAAATCTACCTGCCTGCCATCTGGACATGAAATGGGTTCAAAGGGACCATCCTCAGGTTGATTTTTTTAAATGCCTTTCTTTGGTGGTGATGAGGTCAAGCCAGCTCCTCTGCGCTTGACCCTCAGCAAAAGCAAGCCCTTCCAGGAGGCCAGCAGGGAACAAGAGCGCTAGCCCTGCTCTGATAGAGCCTCCAAACTGGTAGCTCCACTACAGCTCATCACTGGGGCTTCTGCAGCCCTCCACACAAAAATGAAAGACATTTCACAAGATATCCAAGTCCCTGCATTCAAAAGATGCAGCACTAGAAGAACACCTGGGGCTTACCCACCCCACTGTTTTCTTTATATCACAGTGGCTTATTTCTCAGACTGGTGGAGAAAAGCATAAATGATTAGTACTCCTTCCCCCGAAGAAGTTCTTCATGCCGTGAATGCTAGCACTGCTGCTAATAAAAGCTCACCCATCGTTCCTGAGCCCCACGTCAAACTCTCTGCATACATCACCCTACTGCAGCCTCACATGACCCCATGAATTCGCAAGCGGAGCACCGAGGCAGGTCGGGCTAGCAGCTTGCCCACCACAGCTCTGGAGTCCAGAGACCCTGGATCCACTCTCAGTTGGAGGAGCCGAGCTCATGCTACTCACGCAACAGTGCTCTTGGTGATGTCACTTCTGGCTCCCACACGTGGGAGGTGACCAAGACAGGGGCGCACAGCGAGGTCCAGGCCCCCACGGCTGAGTGAGAAAACCAGCACTGGGGCTGGCACCAGATTCTGCACCATGGGGCCTTACTGCATGGCCCAGAAACACTGCCTGGCCCGACTTCTCAAGGCTTTCCATGAGATCACTCTCAAGACTCGGATTCTGCAGCCCTTCACTAGGCAACTCCTAGCCAAGGACATAAATAGCCACTGGGTCTAACGAGTCCTAACACCCACACCCACCACTGAGCAAGAGCATGCCTTCTCCTTCACCACAGGTGACACAGTCTGTGGCCCTAAGAAGGGAATACTGAAGAGAGGACCAGGGACAGCCCCTGAAAAGAGCATCCTCTTGTTCGGCCCAGAGTACACCCTTGTGGTTTGCCTCCATGCTGCTATGTGGAAGGATGGTGGTCGCCAGCTTCCCTGAGGTTGGGTGGGGCCACCAGAGCACTCTGGCCAACAGTTGTGAAGCCAATGAGCACCTTTCTACCCTGGCCACAGCAGCTCACTGCTGGCCTGAGCCCACTCACTTGGCCACAGTCCACACAGTAGCTACTCTTCATCTGGGTCCAGGGCACAGGAGAGACCAGCGTGACCCACAGCGCACATATAGTGTGAATAAGAAACCTGGGATGCCAAGCTGCCAAGATCTCTTGTTACCTTTTTTTTTTTTTAATTTTATTTGTTTATTTAGTGTGTGTGTGTGTGTGTATGTGTGTGTGTGTGTGTGTGTGGCCAGCTCAGCCCACTTGGGGCAGGGCTGGCTGGCATGTGGTGCTGGGGGATTGAACCGCGGTCCCTGTGCTTTGCTAAGCTTGTTCTAAGTAGGTGCTTTAGACCACTGAGCCATCTCACCAGCCCTTGTTACTTTCTTTAGGGATCTTTTGATATCGTCTCATAACGTAGCCCCATCCTGATGGTTAGAGTACTATTGTCAACACTGCTTCCTAGCAGCCAAGTACCTTGCTAGGAATTAACGATAGGGTAGGAGTAGGGACTACAGAGATAGAAATCAGGCAGGTCCTGGATCTCCAGGCACTAGGAGATCCCAGCTGCATGGCAGAACTGGATACAGTAAGGGCCGCTCATCTGGAAACCACGCAAAGTGAGTGACCCAGCGAGGGGGAGGATGAGGGCAGGCTCCCCTGAGCAGAGGAGACTGAGAAATTAAAGAATGGGTTGGATTTGGGAAAGGGCAAAAGCATTCCTAGGAGGGGGAACAGCGTAAGCGAAGTGCAGGAAAAGCAGGCTGCCCTGGAATACGAGGTCTGGGGAGATCAAAAGCAATACATGGTGATAAAGGGTCTTAATGCCAAATACATGGTGATGGAGGGTCTTGATGCCATAGCCTTGACCCCAGAGATGGGAGCAATCAGTTCCATCGTTTACAAACAGGAGGCAGAAGGGGTCAGTGGTTTGTTACTGCCAATGTCTCCTTGCAGCCAAGCTGAACAGCAGGGAATGCTGAGGAGGAAAACCCAAAAGCACAACTCTGTAGGATGCCGCCACCACCCGGGGGGAGGCATACAGCTGGGAAGAAAAGGTCCAGAACCTGCAAAAACAGACACCAGGAGCCTCCCACGTGAGGCCCCATGGGCCACGCACAGCATCCACATCAGGAAGATGGGCATTTGGAAGTCATAAGGAGGTGGGTCAGACCCAGACCAAGAAGGGCAGGCAGTGACAAAAGGGGAAGCAGCACTCTCAAGAACACACCTAGCATGGGGATTATGGAGGGACTGCAATGGAAGTCTGAGACCAGACCAGAGGCCTCAGAGCCAAAACCTGACAATTTACGCAGGGGCTGCGGGCCTGGCCCCTGGAGTGAATGACCCACCAACATGCCTCATTTGGTGGATTTTAAAGCTGAACTTCTTGTCAATGTGGAAAGCCAAAAAGGATGTACATCTCAATTTTTATTTTTGGTACAAGATTGTACGGGGATGTGACAATGCGCCCTCTGCATGTGGGGAGTAGGCGCTCAAAGTGGACTCGCATCCTGACCAACTGTCCTACTACTTCCTCTCCTCTTACACTAGAGAAACACGCGTGCTGGGCGCCGTAGGCCTGAGAGTCTGTATACCTGGCTGTGGTGCAGGGAGCTCCTGCAGGACATCTGCTGGAGAGCTGAAGAAGAAGTCAGTGCTGACAACTGGTTTCCCAGGGATCCCCTAGGGAAGGGAAGATGCTCGCTAGCCCCTGATCTGATCTTGAGCAGGACCTAGGTGGGGAGCTGCCCCACGTAGCTTTCAGTCAAGTCAGGGGAGAAGACCAGGAGAGAGGTATTTGGGACACTGAGTGCTAAGAGCTGTGCTAGCCACACAGGGCACTTCGGGGCAGGAGGGGTTCCCTGAGCCTGTAGGAGGTTCCAAGTGCAGGCCTTCAGCAGGAGGCTGATGGGTGGCCGGGGCTTTGCCCATCAGGCAAAAAGAGAAGTGCTCCGCAGGTTGGGATTTGCTAGGAAAAACCAAGTCCTGGGAAGTCAGAGGGGACGTTCAGCCAGGGAGGGGCAAAGGTGCCAGGCCTTTCTCCCCAGGTTGTGGTCCTGGCCCTGACCCTCACCCAGAGGCACTCACCAAGGGTCTGCTGGCTGCGGACGCCGCCGATCACCACGCAGATCTCGGCAGGCACATCGCCGGCCCCGTCTTTGCCGACGGCCTTCTTCTCCTCCTTGGCCTCGCCTTGCCAGATCACCTCCTGGATGTAGTCATCAGGCAGCTCAGTCTTTACCTTCACCTCCGTCATCGTGCCCTGCTCGGCGCTCAGCGAGGCCTCGGCAGGCACAGGTTCAGGGCCCTCCACCTTGGCACTCTTCTGGCTGCGCTTCAAGCGCTCCCTGGGACAGAAGAGAGTCTGCTCAGAGTGGCCCCCACACCTGCCCTGGCCCCACAGGGAGCCCATGACCCCCGTACCACAGAGACAGGCTGCACAGGGGCCAGCAGCGCCCCAACCCACTGTACCTTCCCATCACCTTCAAGGTTACACAAGGCTCCTCCAGGGACCCCCCAGGCAGGGCTCTGGGAAACACTGAGCTAGTATGGCTCCAACTGCAACCTTTTCAGATGGGGAAGTTGGAACTAAAGAAGTCCCGATGTGCCCAGCTCCTTCCCTGTTTATGCTTATCACAACTAGAATTAGGAGAGACCTTTTAAAAGGGCACCTCTGGCTGGCTGAAATGTTCTCCAATTTCAGCACGCACAGGAAGGAGCCAGCAACTTGGACAAATGCAGGTACTGGTTCCGCAGGACTGGACTAGAGTCTGAGACTCTAATAAGTGCCCAGGTCAGGCTGCTGCCTGGACCTCCAACTGTACTCTGCTCTGAGCAACAAGGGTCCGAATGAGCCAATGCACACCCACCATTCCTCGGCAAGAGGGCTAGAGAGCTCACTCAGCTCTTCCCTGCTCCTGAGTTACAGGCGGGGAAACTTCGATCCTCAGAAGGTTCCCACAGCTGAGATGCCATGGGGCCAAATCTGGTGTGGAGGTGACTCTAAGGCACCGAGGCTGGTACTGGGCAGGGCAGGATGTGTCACTGAGCCTTAGTTACACGAAGACACTGAGTCCTACAGCAGGAATGTTGCCCTCTCAGTCCTCCCACACAAACAGCAGTGGGCCAAAGCATGAAGTTGGGGCCTGCCAGCCGTTCCTGAGCCCTTCCCCTTTCGGGGTGATTCTGTTACCCCGTGGCCCTACATCCTTTGCAGGCAAAGGAGTCACACAGCTCCTCTTGCTGAGCCTTGTTCTCCGCACCCACTGGGAGCAAGGCCCGCTCCTGGCCTGGGGATCCATCCACGCTGGAGTGCACAGTGGAGACCACGCATGCACAGAGGAGGCCACCAGCAAGCCGCCTGGAGGACTACTGAGGCGCGGGCAGCGAGGCAGGGCCTGGGCTGACTCTCATCAGTAGGGGGGCTTGCTGTGTGGCTCAGGGCCACAGCACTCTCCTCGCTGGGCTTTTAGTAGCTCCAACAGAAACAGAAACATGGGTGGGCTCCTGTCTGCTGTCCTGCCCAGCTGCAGCAGTCTCCCAAGCTGAAGAAAGGTGGCGAAATGAGCAAAGAAGGGAAGAGGTCCAACTAACGAGAGGACGGCAGAGAGGGGCTGTTAGGGTGCTCTAGATCACATGGTCCCCTTAAATTCATATGCTGGTGCCCTGGGCACCTCTGTCACTACATCTACAGTCAGGGTCACTAAGAAGTCATTTCCTTTATTAGTGAAGAAACTTAAGTTGAGCTGCCCATGTGCCAGGCACGGCTGTAACACAGGGACTCCTTTCATTCTCAGCCACAGCCCTGGTGGGTGAGCTCTGGCTTATCTCCATTTACTGTCTAGGAAACTGAGGCCCTAGGAGACAGGACCAATGTCCAAAGACAAACACGTAGTGAAGAGCGAGACGAGGGCCTGACGCAAGAGTACTGGTGCTCAGCCACAAGGCACCTAGACTGGACAGGAACCTTCCGAAGTAAGCACCCTGCCCTTCTAGCAGCCTTGGCACAGTCCCTGCCACCTGCCACCCACTCCTAACCTTCCACATCTGAGCAGTCAAACCGAGGTGCTGGGGTTCCTCAAGGGCACATGAGGACAGGTGGCTCCCTGACTTTCTGGTTGCATGCAGGGGCACCTCTGAGCCAGAGCCCTTGGGAAAGGGAACATGGCCCCCACCTGGCTGCAGGGTCCGCACAGAGCAGAGGAGCCTCTAAGTTCCGTGAGGCCTCAAGAGATGACAGGACCAGCTGCTCTTAAGAAGTCCAGGCAGGGCTGGGCTCTAGATGGAGATTCCTGCCTGCTAACAGAAAGGAAACCCAGCTCGGAACAGCCCTGCTCAATGGCGACATTGTGGTCTGGTGGGAGTGAGGGGTCATCAAGTGGGACAGAGTCTCCAGCTTGAAACTGGTCATCCCAGAAGCAAATCCTGGAACTACTATTCTCAGACTATGGGCTCCTGCATAGGTGACTCTGCCACACCAAGCCCTCGTCTCCACATCCACACAAAGGACAAGCATGGCATCTGTCACAGTGTTCTGACATCTGGGGTCCCATATCTCCCCTTTTCTATGGGAACAGGGAAGATGAAGCATATTTCCCAAGTCCAGTCCCCAGTGTCACACCATGAGGACTGATTGCAGCACAAGGGCATGGCCACCACAGGATGAACATTCATCTCCTAAGAGCACAGTGTTTTAGAGCAAGCCTGGCCCCTGTGCCATTCTACCTTCCCATCTGGCGGTGAGATCTCTCCCGCCTGGCAGTGGGCCACCATCTGCCAGGAGGGCTAACCAGAGCTAAGCGCATGGGGCTGTGTCCTTAAATCTGGAGAACTATAAACTAAAGACACCTCTTCTCTCTATAAAGTGTCCACCCACAGGTATTTTGTTACAGCAACAAAAAATGGACAAATAATGAACATGATACACAAGGAAAAGGATCTTACACAGTGCACACTTGAGTGTGTGGCCTATGGATTTACCTTATGCAGGTTCAAATCTCACTTTCCTAGACATTTAGCTTATGCAGCACTACCCGTTGGGTAGTGGGACAGCAGCGTGGGAGGGAGCGAGGACCTTGTTCACAGTCACTCGCAGAGCAGAGGTGACCATACCAATGGAAGCTGGCAGCAAACCCCATTCATCAACATGAAAGAGACGTGGGGCTCCATTTACTGACTGAGCCCACAAGGTATCAATGACCAGCCAGTTCTGTCTGCCTGACAGGACAGGAGGGGACAGAGTGGCTTCCTACCCAGAACATCCTCGCCTCTACTTTTGTCTCTGCTGATGCTCTGAAGCAGACTGATGTCCTTTCCTGTCCCCCAGGTCTTCACCAGCACCAGGACACTGGCTGGCAGGGAAGAGCAGTGGAGTCAGACAGCTGGGTGTAGCTCACCCGACACGCTGAGACCTTCGGCAGGAAAGCCCGCTCTGAGCCTCAGTTTCTTCATCTGTTCAGGACGACTGGGATCCAGAGGGCAAGGATGACGCCCATGAGAAGCCCAGTTAGGGGTGGGTGACAGGGCGGGTGAGTTTTGCAGATGTAAGCTGTCATTATAACAAGGGTTCGCAACCTCCTCCCCTCCTCTGGGAAGCTTTCTGATCCCCCCTGCACCGCAAGTGTCACATCACCTTTTGAAGGCTGTTCTTCCAGCCATCCTTATACCGTGTGCAAGTGATTCACCTCTTGTCGACCACCCGCATCTAGCTTCTGGCTTCTCCACTGTGTTTTTCCTTTGTGGCTCCAGATGTCAGTTGAAATAGCCTGTCCACTTTTGACTCACCAGATCAGATTTACCCCGAGGGTGCATGGGGCGGTCACAGTCCTAGCACCCAGGAGCTAACAGCGGGTGCTTCAAATATGCTATACTTGTCTAGGAACCAGAAGAATACCTGTCTCCTGGGCAGCGGGTGCTGGGACCTAAGCCTGCTGTGACTGACTCTTGAAGCTCACTGGGACAGAGGCACTTTGCAGAACGGAAAATCACCCATGTGTCACAGGCCTGGGAACAACTACATCGTGGAAGAGCCCTCTGAAAACACAAGGATGTAGCAAAGCTGGGACTTGAGCAAAATCATCCTTTGTGGGGCTGGCGAGATGGCTCAGTGGTCTAAAGCACCTACTTGGAACAAGCTTAGCAAACCACAGGGACCGCGGTTCAATCCCCCAGCACCACATGCCAGCCAGCCTCGCCCCCTGGTGGGGTGAGCTGGCCACACATGCACACACACACACAATAAATAAATAAATGTTTAAAAAAAAAATCATCCTTTGTCCTTTCACTGAACTGCCAGCCTCAGGTCACCCAGGGCGTGTGAGAGGCACAGGGAATGGCCTTCCATGGGAAGACAGACTGCCCCCAGTTCTTCTGCCTACACCTTGCACCCCAAAGCAAATCAGCCGCCACACTGAATAATACAACTGCAGGTGAGAGCAGCCAGACCCCCGGCTTAGCCCACGGAAGACAGGAGCCGGCAAGCCACCCCCTCACACCCACAGGCACGAGTACAGAGCCATGCACACCCTTAACCATGAGGGCCCTAAGGCCTGACGGCACCGAGGACACAGGCAACTTCCATCTCTGCCCGACTTCTGTGCATTAGATTTACAAGCCCAACACTCTTTTCTCGGATGCTTTGCATTTAATTAGGTGTCTTAATAACAATGGAATTGCAGGAGTACTTTTATCACTTTGAGTTAGTGGTGCAGCTCCTTCTTCCAACTTCTTTAAAAATTTTTTTTCATATATCATTTTTTAAAATAGAGCTCATTATTTTAATTATATCCATTTAAATGTACAGTGAAGTCCTTGGATATTCTCAGCACGAATCATTAGGTATATTAGTGAAAAAGCACTCGGAATCTATCTACATGCTGACACTCCATAATCTATTCTATTTGTGTCGCTGTAAAATAGATTTATATATAGATAACTACAAAATAGTTGCTCAAGATATGCTATGAATTTTATATTTAACCCAAGTCACATTTCAACATAAAATCCCAACTTGGGTGCTAAAGAGTATTTTTCAGTGAGTACCTGCTGTCTGTGGCCACTGGTTATTGCCTGTGCCTGGCTTCCAGTGCAAGAAACCAGACCAGAGGGGTCTCTGTCTACAGAATCTCCAAGGGGGGGCTGGTGAGATGGCTCAGTGGTCTAAAGCACTTACTTAGAACAAGCTAAGCCAAGCAAAGCACAGGAGCCATGGTTCAATCCCCCAGCACCACATGCCAGCAAGCCCCGCCCCCTGGTGGGCTGAGCTGGCCACACACACTAAATAAATAAATAAATAAATGTTTTTAAAAAATAGACAAAGTTTAAAAAAAAAAAAAAAAAAAGAATCTCC